TCAACCGCTTCCACTTGAAAAGTTCACGCGACCAGTTGAATTCTTAATTTTGTCGTTTTCTTTCTTATTTCTTGAATTATAATTCAATTGAAATAATAGAATTTATTTTATAATCTTGAATTCAAAATTTATTTTTATTTTTATACAAAGAGATAAAAAAGGAAGGAAAAAGGAAAGGAAAAAAAAACACTGACTCTAATTCGAGAAGAGAAAAATTGTGTTTTTTTTTTTTTAGAAGAACTTTATTCACAAAATAGTGTCGTTTATATCTTTAAAGTGTGTAAAATTTTGTAATTTTCTTTTATTGCTACTACCCTTTTGCACACGCGTATTCTCAACTCTCTGTATAATTCCCTTGAATAATATTGCAACGCAAGTTTTGTCGTTTTCATTGCACGACACTTGCAGGATTGTATGTGGTTTTCCCTTCGCTGTTAGATAGCAAAAGGGTTGGAGAGGGGGGGGGCGGGGGTTGATTACATTTCTACCAGATTCGCTTAATCCTTTTGAGCGTGACTGCACTTGGTAGATTTGGGTCACCTGAACAAATTAGCAGCTGTAAGAGAATCGTTGACAGGAGTTTAGTTTCTTTTTTTTTTTTATTTTATTAAATTAAAATAAACATTTCCCTTTTTAGAAATACATGCAATTATCAAAAAAAACATTTTTGATAGTATTTTTCTTTTATTTGCTTCTTGTGGAATTTATATATGAAGTTGACAAAAGCAGAAAAGCTTATTATACTACTTATGTTTATATGTGTATGTAAAAAACGAGAAGAGAATATTTCATGTTCCTCTAAAAACAGTGAATGTAAGAAAATAATTTAAGCTGATAGTTTGAAAAGCGCATTTTGTCTTTTGTGAAGTGCATACAATGGAGAATTTGCTGTCAAAACCATTGGATGAAACGGTGCTGCAAGATTACTCGAGGTTGTGTAAGAAATAACGAACCGTTATGACTGAAACAGGCCGACAGACTGTGCTCGCTATTTTCTGCTCTTCTCATTCCACATTTCTCTCCTTTTCTCTCTCTCTCTCTCTCTCTCTCTCTCTCTCTCTCTCTCTCTCTCTCTCGTAACCGAGAAATTGAGACTTTGCACGGTCTGTCAGCTGCGGTCGACAAGCAAAAACCTGAACGCAAATCTTCTCAGTGCTTCCCATCTTTATCACTTTAATGCCTCTTAAATTGCAAAGTAATCATTCCTTCGTTTACAGAAATTCAAACATTTTTCATTAAATTTACCACCATTCTTCTCCCGATATCCGTTATTTCGTGTAATGCCCAGAAAAAAGTAGAATTACTTAATTGAGAAAAATGCCTCTGCTGTTTGTATTTTTTTTTTCGTCCCGCCCCTAATTAGAAGGGATTTACCACGCCTTCTAATTTTTTTACTCTAAAGTAGCCTTTTTTGTAGCTCCACCCTTAAAGTGATCACGCCCCTAAATGGGTGTAATTAATCGTAGCTCCTCCCTTAAAGTGACTATACATCCATAAATGGGTGTGTTTTAATATCATCTCTCCTTTTTTAACTCCGCCCTTAAAGTGATCACGATAAATGGGTGTATTTTATTATCATCTCTCCTTTTTTAACTCCGCCCTTAAAGTGATCACGACCTTAAATGGGTGTAGTTGATCGTAGCTCCACCTTTAAAGTGGCCACGCCTATAAAAGGGTGGGATTTTAATCGTAACCACGCCCTTGAAGAGGACACATCCATCATCATAGCTCCATCCTTAAAGTGACCACGCCCCTAAAAGAGTGTAATTAATCGTAACTCCTCCCTTAATGTGACTACGTCCATAAATGGGTGTGTTTTAATATCATTTCTCCTTTTTTAGCTCCGCCTTTAAAGTGACCACACCCTTAAATGGGTGTAGTTGATCGTAGCTCCACCTTTAAAGTGGCCACGCCTATAAAAGGGTGGGATTTTAATCGTAACCACGCCCTTGAAGAGGACACATGCATAATCGTAACTCCATCCTTAAAGTGACCACGCCCCTAAATGGGTGTAATTAATCGTAGCTCCTTCTTTAAAGTGACCACGCTCATAAATTGGTGGGATTTTAATCGTATCGACGTCTCTTTTGTAACTCCGCCCTTGATAAGGACACACCCTTAATTGGATTTAGACAATTTTATTTTATAACTTCTTTCTTAAAAATAAATATCGCCCCTAAAACCGTCAGTACAAATTCTAAATTATTTTTACTCAATTTTTTCTTCTTTCTAATATCTTCTTTTTTTTATGAAATAAAAATTAAAGACAACATATATAATTGTTTTATTCAAGAAAAATGATTTTGTCCTTGCACGCATATACAATTCACGTGCTACCTGGTAAAATGAATCATTATCATTCAAGGACTTGTCTGCGCATTCCTTATTCGATGAGAATTCCACCACTAAAGTAGACAAGAAATCGAGAAAGAGAATTGTTGAAGAAAATCCTTCCAATTGCAATAAAAAAAAAATCTACTGATTGTTCTGTGTTTTGTCTTCTTTATTCATAGAAGTTTTTTTTTTTTTTTTTGTCGTGAGAAGGTAAAATCATCGTTTATTGAGAGAGACTCATTAAGCGGCGATTAAATTACACTTGCGTCAATTGATTCTTGGCAAATAATAATAATAATAATAATAATAATAATAATAATAATAATACATTGAAATGAAATAATAATTTAGTAAAATAAAACCTTTAGAAAGTATCATAATATGTACGTAATTGTTTTTATATAATAATGTGTAAATAGAAGAGTAATGAAATTAATAAAAATTTTTAAAAAAAATTCTGATTTCTCTTGAGGGTAATAAATTGATCCACTTTAGAGGTAATGGCTTTTTTATCTTTTATTTCCTCGTCCATCTGATTCACATCAAGTCGCCATCTACTTTTATCAACATTAGTCGGTTTTACTTTTCTGAGTCGGGCTTCCCTGACCTCATTATGTTTCATCATAGATCTCTCTCACACATATATATATGTTTTTTTTGTGTCAAAACAATAATAATATTTTGATAATATAATCGATTTAATAAAAATTCTTTTTAGTTAATTTCTTTAGAAATTTTATCTTATTAAACAATTAAAGTATTTTTAAGTTAATTTTTTCTTATCTTTTCTTATTATTATTATTATTATTATTTGCGATGAAAATCGTTTTAACATTTTCTCGTCAATTATTGTAAAAATATTAATCTTAACAAAGTTAATTGGTTTTTGTGTATTTAAGTACGAAAATAAAAATTAAAAAAAAAAATATATGTGAAAACAGGAAAAGAAAAGAGAAAAGTTGTGTTTGCTTCAAGTATTTAATTACCTGATAAATTTCTGCCTTGGAGGGTTGAAAGATTACCAGTTCACTTTCGCGTAGAGCACTAGAGAGATTGTATAAGGGACGTGGATCAAGCTTTGCTGAGTTGGCGGTTAAAAAGAACTTTCCCATCAACAAAATCGACGTCATAAAAAAAAGTCTAATTTAGACTTGGCTTGTTAAATCATTATTTTTTATCCTTCCCCCCCCCCCCCTCCCGATCATACTAATCAAACGAATTAGAAATTTTTTTTAAAAAATTCTTAGAATGATTAAAGTTTCTTAAAGTTATTTTATATAATTAATAGAGAGATTTTTTTTTTACAAATATTTCTATATTATAGTTTAATTTGTAAAATTTTTCAAATTAGTTTAATCGATAATTAAAGAACTTTCTAATCACATGATCATTATCAAATTTTATCATTTTTAACATTATTAAACCTTTCTATAGTTTATTATATAATTTAACTTTTATGATAATTGTTATATCTTTTTATAGTTATAATATCTTATCTGTTATTATATATTTTTATAGTTATTATTATATCTTTTTAAATATTACTTCTTTTCTTAGTTTCCTTGTATCTTTTGATAATTATTATATTAATTTTTTAACAATTATTATCGTTCAAGTTTCTTAACCATTTTTTATTAGATTTAAAAAATGATTAACGGAATTCATTCGGTGAGACATAATTAAAAAAGTGCAAAAGAAAAGACGATACAAATAAAAAATACTTTTTGTTGGCTCTTTATATAAAGAAGAAAATACCTAAAATGCAAAACTCGTGAAATATTAAGGAAAACTTTTCTCAGAAAACTTGAGGGGAATTTTTTTTTTTTTTTTCAAAGTTTAAGTCTTTTTTCATCAAAGTGAATAATATTCTGCTAGGGAATTTGTTAGAAAAATTATCACTTTTTAAAAGTAAAATACAATTATTTTATATGTGTTACACTTGACAATAATTGAAATCTTGAACTTTCTTAAGGTTGTAAAAACTCTTGAGATTAAAGAGGGCAATGTTTAAAGGTCAAGGCTATAAAAAAAAGAGAGATTTTCTAGCTGAAAAACTATTTTTTCTGAATGAGAAAGAAAAAATGGTACTTTCTGCTTTAGGGTGACGAGAACTGGGGCTTTCCAAAAGAGGGGAATAGCAACTCTGACAAGTTAGTCCAGGGGTGTGTGAGCCATATCGATTCCTACCTCTTTGCCGACAATCTTCTTTTACAAACCATAGTATGGCTTCTACGCTTAGAATTTTTTTTTTTAGATACCTATATCGTCAAACTTTTTTTCCCTTCTTTTATAAAACAATTTATGTTACTAACGTTTTTTTATTTAAAGTTTTTTTTTCTATTTCTTGACAAGGTTTTTTCATTACTAATTAAATTGTTTTTAAAGACAATCTAAATTAATAGAGAAATAGTTTTCAAGTAGGAAGAGATTAAGTTACGAAGAAGATTTCACAACAGCAACAAGATCAACATGAAGAGAATTCTCATTAGAGCAATTAGAGATGTATTAACAGAGAGACATTGAAGTCTCCTTGTAATTAAATTCAGTCTTTGAAGAGGATTATGTATTTTAAATAAGATTACTTCTAACTAGAATTATTATGTTTAAAAAGAAAAATTATGATTATTTAGAAAATAATGGATTTTTGTTTTTTTTTCTGATTTCAGATTAGCAGTCAGTGTGACATGGATGTGAGCTACACGAACGTGTTGGAGGTGTCCCGCCAGTACTTCCAAGGATTACCAGTGCCAAGTACTGCAGGTACAGAGAATCTAACAACAACGACAACAACATCAACATCTTTTGAAAATGGAACAGCAACAACGATATCCTCCTCCTCCTCCATCACATCACCAGCAGTGGCATCAATGGTCACGACTAGCAATAATCGCCATCAACAAATCTACTCAGAATCAAAAACCGAGGATTCATCAACAACTTCTTATTGGAATCCATCCGGGTCAAATGAGCTGCGACCAGTTGAACCTTATCCCCCTCAACCAACAAAAGTTGAGGTACCAGACACCAGGCCTGATGAAACCGCCATGGAACCAGGATCTTTAACCGAAATGTTACCGTCCAAATCACGTACGACGGAACAAAAACAAGAACCCTCATCTACCGTTGTTCCCGCCACTGAACCTCAATTGCACCAAATGCAACCACCCAAATCACAATCACCCGTCTATCAACAATTAAATAACGTCGCAAGAACTTCATATCCCACTGCTGATCCCTATCAGGACAGATCAATTGCAGCTCAACGAGTTCAATACTATCCACGTTATCATCATCCAGACATAAGAAAAAGTGCACCAGTACCATTTTCCCAAAATTCAATGTACGTACCACCTTCGGCTTCGCCAACTGTTTCTGTACAATGCATCAGATCCAACGAACAGGGTTCAATTCCAACCTCAAGTCATTCACAACAGGAGCAACATCGAATTCCCTCAGCCTATTCGCAGCCACAAACTTTAATTGGTGGTTCTTCTGTTTATGGAACTTATGCAACAAGCCAACGACGAATTGGACCTTCTTCCAACGATTCCACTTCGCCTGCAACCTCATTGGTAAATCCACATCTTGGTACTAGTAATCCCTTAGCAACTGGTAGTACAAGTCACATTCCTTCGCCACATAATATTCCGGCGCACATTCCGTCACCACATCCACCATCAGGATCGTCAACATCATTATCATCATCATCATCATCATCGTCGTCGCCAATGACGCATTCTAGTCGAAATCCCAATACGTATCGACCGGTCCTTTCGAATCAACAACCACAATCTCAAAGACACTCGCCACATATTTCTGTTATGCATAATCAATTTCAACCTCATTCACCGCCGTATCCACCTCCACCGAGATCGACTCCTCAAACCTACAGTAATCCTCCAAATCCACCTAATCCTTCAGCTCCTCCTCCACCTCCCACTTCACTTTATCAAACTGGATCGAATTTTCCAAATCCCTATTCTCAATCTTCATACCATTCCTATCAAAAAACAGTAGTTCCAAATTCAAGTTATTATTCACAGCCACCAAGAACTTATTCACAACCAGTGGAACAATTACAAATCAATTCCGGAACTAATGGAGGTGCCTATCAAAATTCAATAATCAAATATAATGGCGAGGATGTTAAGAGAAATCCAACTGAAGTTACAAATTATGGATCGTATCGTACTCCAACTCCAATTCAAAGGAATACGCATAATTTACCACCAATTGGAGCGCTATCATTTCAAAATCGTAATTCCAGGGATAAATCACAAGCATTGCCACGACAAAGAACAACGCATTCCATTAAACCAACAACAGTACCAATACCATCGACAGTACCACGTAGAATTGAATATCCTGTATCGTCAATAAATCAAATTGTACCAATTAATGGAAGAACAACATCCTATAGTAGATACAATCAACAATATCCAACTTATGCAACAACCGTTGCACCAAGTCATTATGGTAGTAATTCCTCAAGTACAACTGTCACATCAATTGGAGTAACAAGACCACCCACTGCACCAACGCAATATTCATCATCCGATTCGACTAGTCGTACACAAGAAAATTTCTATAAAGACTATTATCAAAATTCATCGCGTTATTCATTACCAAATGGATTGAGAAAAAGAGAATCGCCCCTTGATTTATCAGTGAAAACAGTAAAAACCTCAGCTGATTCAACAGCACAGGACGATATCGAAGCAAATAGTAATTTAGTAACAAGCAGCAATGCAATGTCTTCCCGAAATATGTTACCTCCAGTACAAACAAATTTATATCCATTCGATGTGAGAAATACAAATGGAATAAGAAACATCAGGCCATCAACAGTTTGTGCACCAAAAGTTGAATTCTATCCCGATTTTAATACAACAAGACACCAACAACCAAATCAAAATTCCCTACGAAGAAGTCTATCCTCACAACAATTGTATCCCCAACAACAACAACAACAACAATCACAAAATACCATACCCCTGCCACATATGTCAACATTCAAAAAATCCCTACCAACAACCCAACAACATCCAAGACCATATCCAGATCGACCATCCGATTCAAGTAAATACTATCAAGGCGCTAAATTCTTCAGTACTCAATTACCATCAGACAAATATAATCCAATGAAACGTGGATGTACAACCGATGCGCTCTATACCAGTGGATCAACACCAAACAAACAACCACGCGTCGATGCATGGCGAATAGCAATTGACGAGCAAATACAACAGAAATTTTTAGCAGCACGTCAAAATGAAGAGCAAAAAAAACAAGAATCAAATGGCTATGAGCAAAGACAGGAGAATATCTATTCCAATGATACAAGATATCAAACATACTGTGATAAAAGAAATTATCAAGATCCAAAACTCACAAGACCACCATCAAATAATCAACCATCAGGTAGTCAAATGGATCTTAATTATCTTAATTATCGTCAATATTCAGAGCCACCAAGTAATACTGGCGCTGATAAAAGAGTATTGAGTCTATTGCGTAATAGTCTCGAAAGTAAACAACAACGTGAAGAACAATTAAATAGCCAACAATCAATTGTTAATCAACAGAGTTTTCAACAAAAAGTTGTTACACCAATTGAGCCAAAGACAAATATTGGACGACATAATTTATCACCGTTCACTGCCGCTAGTTTATTGGAACGCAATAGTAATACACCGCCTCATTATAAATTTCATGTACCAAAAGCAGTTGATTCTATTATTCAGGATAATACACGTGGATTATATTCATCTAAAATGAATTCAATTTTATCAATTAAGGAAACATCATTAAGTCCAAGGGGAATTGATAATAATCAAATGATAATTGGCGGCAAGGATGATGGATTAGCGGCAAAAATACGTACTAAAGCTGAATTAAAACAAGTTGGCACTGGACAATTTGTATCGAAACCACCAATGTTGTTGATACAGGATACACCATCAACACCAAAAGGTAGAATATTTTTTTTTTTTTTTTCTTATTACAAATTGTAAAATTCAAAAAATTTTTCACTAATTTTTTCTATTTTCTTTTTTCCTCTTTAGAAGTCGAAGGTGCCGCTTCGACGTCAACTCTACAAACATCAGGATCATCAGTTGGAAGTCCACCAAAATTGACACGTGAAAAATTAGCATGTCTACCACCAAGACGAAGACTATTTTCACGAACAGATGATGATAGTATGTCTTCAATGAATGTACCGGTAATTGCAACAGCCTCTACAGTATCACCAAGAGCAAGTGGATTTAGAAGTTCATCCGAGACTTCGGTATTTGATTTTCGTGAGAGTGATTCTGAAGGTGAAATGCCTGTATTAGAACGTCAAACTCTTGAGGAAATGAGAAGAGATCGAAAGCAACTCTCTAAAGTACAACCACCTGTTTCTTTGAATGACGCTATGTTGGGTATGGCCTCTTCAACAGATCTCGTTAAAATTGAATTAAAGGTGAGAAAATTAATAATATATTTAAAAATTAATTTTATTCAACCCTTTTTTAATTTTGCATTTTTTTTTTTGCAGGAGAATAACAAAATTACCGAAATGGATCCATTTTGGACAGCGACCTGTGATAAATTTATGGAACAATTACGAAATGGTGACTCGGTGAAGAAACGAGGACGCAAGAAGAAGACTGAAAATACTACTACTACTACTACTACTACTACTACTACTACTGCCACATTAAAAACAGAAGTGACTACAATTACAACTTCTATTAATGAAGAAAATATTGAGGCATTAACGTCTATAATTAAACCCGAAGACATTAAAAAAGAAACACCCGACACGATAGACGTAACGCGTGAAATTTCTCAAGAATCCAGTAAAGATTTAACAATACCATCAGCGACAGAAATAAAGACTGAATTAAAAATTGAGAACAAAGAAGAGGAAAAAATTGAAATCAAACCATCGACAATAATTGATGAGAAACTTAATGAAAAAGAAAAAATTTCTGGCGATGATTCAGATGAAATACCTTTAATAAGACGTGCAAAAAAGAAGAAAAAATTGAAAAAAGATGACAGCGATGGAGATGAGGAAATTGTCTGTCGAAAAAATCGAATTCGACGGGGAAGTAGAATAAAATTGGAATCATCAAGTGGTAGTGAATCATCAAGTGAAGAAAGTGATGCGAGTACCGAATTTGGACAAGGTTCATCGGTAGCCGATCGTTTACGTGCAAGAAAACGTACGGGTAAAAATAAAATTGACGAGGGTATGAAATTAAGATCACGTGGTAATACACCGCATAAAAATAAACAAGATAAAGAGACAAAATCACCGAAAAATGATAAAACACCACATAAAACAAAACCAAAACCATTATTTGGTGATGGCAGTGATTTTCGTCCAGGATGGGAGGAAGAAGTTTATGTTTATAAAAAATCCCTAAGAATGCCACCGCGATTAATAAATGTTTCAAAACCAACACGATTTCATCGATTATCCACTTCTCTGCCGGATTTAGATCCCGGTTCACCGGCACTTTCCGTTTCAATGGACAGCAGTGACTTGTGTCTCAATCGAAAACGCATTGTTGACAGTGATTTAGAATCAAATTGTAGTTTCACTATTGCCGGTCTTGGTAGTAAAATCGATGATGAAGAAGCAACATCATCAACAACCGTATCATGTCCACCAAAAACAAGATTCATTAAATCCGAAACAAATTCAATTGTCGATGTTCTTGCACAAAAAGTTGGTACAAATAATAATAATAATAGAAAAGATCAGAAAAAGGCGAAAATTGAAAAAAATAGCCCCTTTAAAATACAAAATCGTCGTGGCAATAATAATGAACCTGAATTATTACCAACGCCAAGTCTCACACCATTATTATCCACAGATGAGTCATCAACAAAAATAAAGGGCAAAACACCCATTAAAAATAAATCACCAAAACCAATAAAGGTCTCCGATTCATTTTTACTTGGTTATTTTCGTAAAGAAACTGTCAATAATTTTCGTAATACATTTAAAAATAATCATGCATTACCAAATGAATTTTCAACAGTTGTTTTAAAAAGTCGTACACGCACTGAGACAAGAGTTCTTAAGAAACAAGCAACAATACGCGAAGTATTTGGTGAAGATCGTCCAGCATCAGCGCCACCAATTAGAAATCGTGACGATACATCGCAAGATGATGATGATTCACAAAATGAATCGCAAACAGGAACAATTGAACGTACAATGACATTAAAGCAAAAAGTTGTATCGCGATTGAGAAATGTTGGTATTCTACGTAGTAACAAGGCAATAATTAATTCAAAAAGACATCTTTTAATTGCAAAACGTAAAAAGGATATGATAAATAAGAAATTGAAAAAGGATGTTAAAAAAGAAATTGATAACGATGATGATGATAATGATGATGGTGATAATAATAATGATGATAATGAAGATGATGATAATGATGACGATGATGAAGATGATGACGATGATGAGGAGGAACAAAATCGCGATGAAATACAAGAAACTAATGAGCCGGAAACTGATGAATTGCCCAATAAAAAGAAATTTAGAACAGGTCGTCGAAAATTCCGCTCGGGTTTCGATTATATTCGAAAGAAAAAGAAACCATTGAAGAAGGATGATATTTTGCCAAAAGAACGAAAACGAGTAAGTTTGAAAAAAAATTTTTAAACAAAATTTGTCTCTTATTATTTTTACTTTTAATTAATTTGAATTTTCAATTAAAATTTTAGCAAACTATCACAAAATCAAATCCAGAATGCGTGGCTGATATTCAAAATGAGATAAGAACTTGGGTTATAAAAAAAGGAGTCGGTGAGACGATTTTACATCGTGCTGCAAGATTAGGCTACACGGTAAGAAAATTCCAAAAATTCTATTCATAATTTTGTTTTTATAAATTTTCTTTAAATTAATTAAAGGAGATTAAATGACCTTAATATTGATGTAATTGAATTATAATTGTTTTTTTTTTTTGTTTATTCAGGACGTGGCTGCCTTTTGTTTGGAAAAGCTCAATAATGCTCCTAGTCCAAAAGACAATGCAGGATATACTCCACTTCATGAAGCTTGTGCAAAAGGTCATCTTGAAATTGCTAAACTTCTTCTGGCTTACAGTGCAAACGTTAGTGAAAGTGCTAACGGTGGAATAAGGTGAGCTTTGTTAAAATAATTTATTTTTCTTTTAATTTAAATGCAATATTTGTTATAAAATTAGAAACAACACTGATAATGGTTAAATAATAAAAATAATTTTTCTAGGCCTTTGCATGAAGCAGCGGAAAATGGATCGGCGGAACTTGTACGATTATTATTATCATACGGTGCTGATCCTTTATTGGCAACATACGCTGGACAAACTCCTTTGATGTTGGCAATGGACACAGATGCACACACAATACTCCAACAACATTTAAATGACATTCAAGGTCGAGATTGTGAACCCTGGTCCTTCGGTGGACCATCCTCAGTCTTTGGTAAATTTTCTTTTTATTTCTCATAAAAATTCGCTCAATTTTTTCAAAAATTCTCCAACTAAAACAATTTAAATTAATTTATAATTATAATTTTAATAAATCTCTTTTTTTTATTACAGATCCCGAAGAATCAGGTTATAATCCATTAGAAAATGTTCCTGTGGAATCACCAAAATTAGAATTGGAAGAAATTGAAATGGAAGTGAGTGATGTTAATTTACCGGCATTATTTACACTCAATAATGATCCCGATAAATGGATTCTCCTACAAGATTTAATGACTGCAGTTAAAGTAAAAAGTCGTGATGCATTATTACGACAAATTAATCCAAAAGCACCAACAGGACCACCTGGAGTTGCACATCGTGATGTTATGAAGGACATGAAACTAGGTGAATTTTTGGAACAATCAAAATGTTGTCATTTATTGAGTGGTGGTGAAAAAATTAATGTTAGAGGTTCAAAAGTCACATTAATTAAATATAATGAAAAAGTGAAATCATTATTGAATGTCGAGAGAATTTTAATAAGCACAAGGTGACATAAGGCAATTGAGGATGAATCCTCATTAAAGGATAATAAACCCTCAACGTCAAATTTAACACGGAAAAAGACTCTAAAGCAAATTGTTGTTAAATTAGAGAATAATATTTCCACTATTAAGCCGATTATTAAGCGAGAGAGAAAAACTAGATTGCGTCAAGTTTAATTGAAATTATAATAATAATTATAATATTATTATTCATGTTGATTTATTTAAAAATTGACGATGTTATTGAAAAAGTAATTTACAAAATAATTGATTTATGATTTTTAGGGTTTTGTAAATGAATTGATTGATTTTTTTTTAATGATTGACTTTGAAAAAATGAATTTTTGTGAATGTTTGAATTTTTTTTAAATTTTTTTTTATAAAGCGGTGGTTTTTATAGTTGTAATTTTTTGATTCTTATAATAAGGAGAGGAAACATGTCTCGCAATATTATATAAAGACAGTGCAATTCGGATTACAGGAGTAAAAAAAATATAGGAAAAAAAACTGTTATCTAGAAAGTAAGAGTGACGATAACACAAAGCAGCCATCTGTGACATTACATTAGAGTATTTACCGGAAGATATGCATATATAAATATATTAAAAAAAATATATATATGAATATATATCCGTAGGATGATATTTTATTATTGCGCGCCTGAAGGCTGGTTTTAAATGCGAATTTTTAAAAAAAACTAATAATAATAATAATGCTTTTTAGAAAGAGAGAAAACTGCCGCCTATACGACAATAGAATATGCGGAGCGTCTTGGAATGAAAAATAAAGAAATAAGAGAGAAAAAAAAAATAAGAGAAAAAATAATTTTTGAAACAAAAATTTAGTATGAAGTTTTTTTTCAAACTTCGAGGACGTTCTGCTTGAGTCAATTCTATTTTTAGTTAATTATAATTAGTTACTAAAAGGATTTTACTAAAGAATTATTAATTTTTTTTCCTAATTCTACGACGTTACCACTTGTTAGTTTTTATGATACGGCTTTTTTTCTTCCCCTCTCTGTAAAGAAAAAAAAAAAAAAAGAAAAAAAAGAAATGTCTCACATGCGATGAAAAATAGCATTTACATATTTGGGAAGTGCAATTTTTGAAAGGATACGCAATTTTTTTTTTTTTTTTTTTTTTATTTTAATGAAAAATACTCTTTAGTCGACTGAGATTTATAAATGTAGGAAATTTTTTTTCCCCACGGAGATATATTTTTTTTTTTTAACTCTCTGTGTGCAATACGCGTATTCGATCATTATGTTTTTTTTCTTTTTAAGCTATCTATATATAAAGTGAACGCCTTAAATGTCGATCACTGATCAAAAAATGTTGTCTGTTTTTTTTTTTTTTTTTTTTTTTTTTTTTTTTTTTTTTTTTTTTAAAGGCGGAAAAGGTGATTTATTAAAAGCAGTGAGAATCTATAGCAGCGAAGCTAATTATACAAAAAAAAGGGGGGAAATATTTTAACTGAAACAATTTAGAAATGGTAAATTTTAAAAGTTTAAAAGAAAACATTTCTATGTAAACTGAACAAGTCGATTTACGTACTTAATTCTTTTTTGCAAACTAAGATTTTCTAATAATGTAAATTTGCGATTTATTATTAAAAGTATCGAAAGGAAACAAAAAATATTTGCGATATTCTAATTGCGAGTAAGAAAAATATTCGCGAGCCTGTTTAACATACTACGATAAATTGTTTTCTAAGTTTATCTAAAAGAAAGTTCATTATATACTGTGTCGTACATTTATTATTATTATTATTATTATTATTATTACTATTATTATTTTATTATTTTTATTATTAATATTATTTTCTTTTAAATTTAACGCTGATTTAAATCGTTATAATCAGTCTCAGGGAAATTTATGTGTATTTTCGATGTAATTATTAATAATTAATGAGCGCACGCACAGATAATTTTTATTGAAGCTTCAAAATGAAAAAAAAGAAAGAAAAAGCTTTTATGTATTTAATATAAATTGCATTGTACAGAAAATTAATCAAAAATGTGATTTTTAGATTTGTGTCTGTGCGTGCGATCAAAATGTTTCTTTTTAACCGTATATAACAAAAGAAAAGAAAAGAAAAAAACAACGTGCAGTTCTATGTACATACTGTCTATTTTTTCAGTAGGTAAGATACAGCAAAAAAAATCTAATGTGTCCAGGTTCGTTTCTTTTTAAAAATGACTCGCAATTCTTTTTTTTTTGTGAAATTAATAATGTACGTATTGTATGTATTGTATGTAGAGTGTAAGTAGAGAATTATATAACCAATCTTGATATTTGTTTATATTAAATGTATCTCGTGTATGTAAAGCATTCTGGTGTTAAATAGTTAAATTTAATTGACAGACTATAAGGTCTGAAAATGTAAATAAATTCAAATTATTATTAATATTAATATTATTATTATTATTATCATTATTATTATTTTTTATTAATATTATTATTATACTTTTAAACATACAATTACAATAGATTATGGTTTTTTTTTTATTGTACTATAAAAAAAAATTGTATGTATAAAACAATAGACATGTGGATGTATATTTTCTTTTGTTTCCTCTCGTATTTATAATTATTTGTATTAATAATAATGCTTTAGAATAGAGAGAGAAGCTGCTATTGTCATAGTAATGATTATTATGTTATTATTATTTTATTATTATTATTATTATTATTATTAATATTAATATTATTAAAGGATTATATAAAATATAAAATTACATTTTTTTTTATAACCAGACATAAAAAAATTAATTTGATTAAGGTCATTTGGGGAAAACCACGTGATCTTAACAAAAATTATTTATTAATTAATTAGAACTAAATCAATATTGGATTGTAATATGATTTTATTTAATATATGAAAATATTGATTTTCATATGTATTTATCAATTTCTTTTTTATTTGGAACTTTGTAAATATTAACAAACAAACAAAATAACAAACTTCCCTTTTAATATAAAAATTTAATAAATTATCTGTTTTAATTGATAAAATTTTAATTATTATTTCTTGTATATGCATAGTTTTTTTTTTTTAATAAAAATCTCTTCATAAATTTTCAAATACCTATTCAAATTTTCCCACCAATGTTTAGTGACGTTATTTCCGGTTTTTTGTTTCAGCGCACTCTAGTATTGGGATCTTGAACTATTTATAATTGACAGAAGCACAAACTGACGTGAGAGGAGAATTTTTTAGTAAAAGATTTAGAAATTTCTATTAATTTATCCTCAGTAATACAAGTTTCAATTTAATTCCTCCTTAGTTAAATTTATTAAATGTTTCAGTGTGATAAATTTGATTCTATAATTAGAATACAAGATATGAAAATTGAATTGATAAAAATGAAACAACAGTCAATCATTATGACAATAGAGTACAATGAAAATGATTGTGATAGCAATACTAATTATTGGAAAATGTGATTTTTAAACAAAATATGAACAATGTTTGTAAGAGATCCCTGTGGTATAATTTGTATAATTGTGACGTATATTGCCGTATTTTATGCCGATTACGTCGTGGTACGATGGATTATTTTGCATACGATGCAAGACAGGTAAGTTTTTTTTTTTTTTTTTTTTTGACAGCTCACAAATGTCATTTGTTTATTATTTTGTAACAATAAATTGCATTTAATTTGTTTTCTTTATTGCGTAAAAAAAAGAAACCAATGACAGTAACGATATGTGAAATTTCTTTCTTTTTCTTTATGATAAATATATTTTTTCCTAAGGTGAAAATAAATGTAATTTTATTAATTTAGTAATATATTGTAAATTAAAAATTACTTTAATTTAAAGGAAATATATTATCTTATCATTATCATCGTGATATAATTATCGTGATTGTATAATTAAATTGTTTGAAAATTTAAAGGAATTCAAAAATTGGTTTTTAATTTGTTAAATTAGTTTCAATTAAATATTCAATTGGTTTTTAATTTTCAATATTGTTATTATTTCTTTTATAATAATATGAAATTATAATTTTCTCTCTATTTTCTTTAATTTTGATAAGATATTTGAAATTTCTATAGTTCTATCTTTTATTAATTACAAAAATGATGTTTAATTTTTATATTATTTACAGCCTTTGGGGTCCATTTCACGTAGTGATTTTCAATACACTGATACTACTGTTAATGATGTCACATTTGAAAGCAGTGTGCAGCGATCCGGGAGTTGTACCTTTGCCCCAAACTAGAATGGACTTTTCTGATATTCATACCGCAGGATCTGGCCTAGATGAAAGTGATGAGAGAGATGATTGGACTGTGTGCACCAGGTGCGAAACTTATAGGCCTCCACGTGCTCATCATTGTAGAATTTGTAAAAGATGCATTAGAAGAATGGATCATCATTGTCCATGGTAAGAAAAATCAAAATATTTTTACTTCAACATTTTATTAGGAAAAAAAAAAAAGAAAAACATATTTTATAATTACCACTTTTTTTCTCCAGGATAAACAATTGTGTCGGAGAAAGAAATCAAAAGTATTTCATTCAATTTTTGGTGTATGTTGGAATGTTGGCCGTTTATGCCATAACACTTGTGATTGCTTCTTGGATAAATGATTGCACTCATTGCAGTAATGACGTAACTATAAAACAAAGTCGAATGTAAATATTAATATTTAAATGTATAATTTAAAGATATTTTGTTTAATTTCAATAATTGAAATGTTTTTTTTTATTACTTTCAGATTACATTGTGTGATATTGGTGCTTGAAGCGGCACTCTTTGGAATGTTTGTTGTAGCTATTTTAGTTGATCAATTTCAAGGGATTTTGTGTGACGAGACAGCAATTGAACGAATTCAAGGACATCATCATCATAAAACGCCACCGCGAACATTTACATTACTCTCGCAAGTTTGTGGTAAAAGCCATCCTCTATTGTGGCTTCTACCTTGTCAAAATCCACCTCGCTATTCTTATCGTCGAGAAGAACGTTTGCTAAATCATGATGTTTGAATATTTTTCCGAAAAAAAAAGAAAATTACTTAATTTCTCGATTTTGTGCAATTGTCGTAACAGTTGTGATTTATCAAAAGAAAGAGAGAGAGAGAAAGGAAATTCACTTTTTTTGTGATATTAAAAGGAAAAATATTTTCAACACTACCGGTAAAATAAATCAGGTCAGTTTTTTAATTTTGTTTCCTTTTAATTTTTACTGGTAATGAAATGTATTTTTAATGATGAAAATATCGCGTACATTAAAAAAAATAATAGTACGAAGTTAGACTGCAAATTAATGCTTTTTGTATTTCATATCTATTTTTTCATTACTCTTCCTTATAGTATAATGACAAAAACAATATATATATATATATATATATATATATATATATATATATATATATATATATATATATATATATATATATATATATATATATATTTATAGAATAAGACTGTAAATATAACCCAAGCTCTGCTCTTGTAATATAAAAAGAAAAAATTAATGGAAATTAATCAAAAACAAATTTTTGCTACAAAATAGTTCTGAAAATTAGATGAGCAAATTTTTCTTCTTAAAAATTGTTTTCTAGCAAAATTATTTAATTTTCAAGTGACTGTGTCGAAAAGAGCATTTATTTCTTGATAATCAAAGAAATATTTTAATTATTTAAATAATTTAATGCTTCGAGAGGTAATTTTCTTATTTATATTGTTCATTTATAGTCTACATTATTTTTAAATACAAAAGCCGTGCAATTTTTTAATATATACCAATTTCTGTTAAAACTTTTAATATTTTATTTTATTTACGTTTGAATAATTTTATGTAAATATTTTTATATGTTTTTTAAATCCTATACGTATTTATTTCGATTAATTTTTACATGGAGATTCAATTTTTGTAATTCTTTTTTTTTTAATAATATAATTTTAGGATAATTTAATTTTTATAAAAAATTTCATAATTTTAAAGTATTACTATTATTTTATCCCGTATTAAAAATTGTATTTAAAAAAAAACTGTTCGTCTCGTAACATGTTTTTGAACTTGTATCTTTCTCTTAGTAAAAAAAAAGTATATTCGAAATTTAAAAAAAAAAATCTTGTAAACTGTATCAGTATATTTATTCCTATTAGTGACTTAAGCCAATGATCATATCGCATTAATGTAAACGTTTTTCATACAAATAATATATATATACATATAAAGTATTCTGTGATTCTTTAGAAAATCTTATTTATTTAGTTTTGGACAATGTGAAATAAATCTGAAACAAACATAATTCGCTATAATTTTCATTTTCAAATTGAGTCGAGCAGAAATAGTTTAAATAAAAAATTTTTGTTGTCACACTTTTCTTTTTGCGAATTATAAGCAAGCAGCCATTAAACCAGCAACATTTTCAAAATCAATTTTTTCCGTGATATTCTTTGTTTTTATGTTCTCGTCTTGATTTGCAATGAAAATAATATTTTTTCCTTGTCTACTTTGTTCTCTCCATCCATATTTTTGCACCCAATGATTGAGTGTCGTGTCTGTAAATTTAATAAATAAAATTAATTGTAAGTTTTAATTTTTCTTTCTTCAAATTTAATTAATTACCTTCAACGTCGCCTAATAATTGTGAAAGTAGAGGTTTGTCTATTGTTTGAAATGTTATTCCCACAACATGACAAACGAATTTTCGAATTGAATCTTGAAAACCAATGATACTATCATATAACTCGGACATTGTGCGAGCGCGTTCCCAAAAAAGTTGAAAATCACACTGCTCCAAAATATCTCCCAAGTACATTATTTGATTAATAGGCTCCTCTGCCATCTACACATTAATGAAGAAAAATTAAAATATAAGTATTTCAATTAACAAAATAAAAAAATAAAACACTTACAATACTTTCACTTAAGAGGCATTTGCACAAAACAAAATCTGTGTGTGGCAAATTGGTTAGAGCCTTCAAAAGAATTTGACAAGTTATATTAACTTTAAATCGTTGTGGATTAAGTTGATACAATTTTAAAACTGCCAAATTTGCCTCCAAATCATAGGCATTTTCTCTCGCTTGAATTTCCACATAATTTTCCAAAGTTGTCAAATTTTCGGGATTATATCTAAAAAAAATATATATAAATAACTCGGAAATATTTTTAATATACAAATATAATATTTGTATTTTAAATTTAACTTAATTAAAAATATATCTTAGGAAAAAAAAATTAGAGATATAAAATCCTAACCTCATATTTTGAATAAAAGTAAGAAATGAATTAATAGAGAAATATAAAAATAATTTTAGAAGTAAAATAAAATTTTAACTTTAATTAATAATTAACAAAGTATACCGAAATATAATCAATATGGAAAATGTTATAAATACAGAAAAGAGAAAGAAACTATTTTAAGGAACGTGTCATTAATTTTGTAAAATTATCAAAATACCTTTCTATTCCCTTCAACATTTCCACAACAGCTTGTCTCATTGCTTCGGCCATGTTTTTTAATTTGAAAAACTTATTTAGTTAATAAATTTATAAAAATAAAATTGAAAATAAGTGATAAATCTGAATATTTTAGGTTAGGTTTAGAACGCTTAAAGCAACTTACTGTCGTGTAACTATCCAACTCTGAAATTGACGTTATTTACGTTATTTACCCTTGATTTACCCAAAGAAGTGTGCGACTTTTTGAACGAGTTTCACATCTGTGATATTATATACATTAAATTTAATATTAATGTTAAATTAAATTATTTAAATAACTAAAATTAAAATATTTATCAACTAAAGATATATGAATATTTATACGTAATATATTATATATATATATATATAATTATATTGTCTAAAAATAATTCAGTATATTATATTGTGACAGTTTTTGGAAGCACTGCAACGTGACTGCAACGTATTTTGTTATTAATTTCACGTTAGATCGTACTGATTAATTCAAGGAATTGGATCCGGCTTTTTGGGCACACCGAAATCATTTTTGATATAATTATACAGAAAAGTTTGTATAAAACAATATTTACAATTTATGCAATCATAAATATGAACTAATTAAATTTGTTATTTTTTAGAAAGGTATGTTGTTTATATACCATCAACTCAATAACATTCATTTGCCGGGAAACTTTTTTTGTTTATATTTCTTGGAATATTAATAATATATTATATTTAATTAATTAATTATTAAATAATTATTCTTTAATTTCCAAAATTTTATTGATTTAAACGGTTTAATAAACCCCTACACAAAATAACAATAATTTTTCTACCCTAACCTCAAAAATATTTTTTAAAATAAAATTTTGTATTGTTTATATATATATATATATATTATATTGTATATTTATGATTCTTAATTTTATGTTAAATCGTTTCTTTTCTTTCTTATCAGGGTATAATTTTTGGAAAATCTTTACAATGAGTTCGATAAAAACACCTATTACAATTCTTAACGAAATGATGGTAAAAAAGAAGATAGTACCTGTGTTTGAATTAATTATAAGTAAAGGTATTAATCAATTTACGTATCAAGTTTCTTGTGATGGATTAGTCGCAATAGGAAGTGCAGGATCAAAAAAAGATGCTAAACAAGAAGCGGCAAATCAAATGTTAGAAAAAATTGCAGCTCGAGATGCTCAATTAACTGGAAAATCATTAAAAAGATCACTTTTCACGAAAGATATAAGAGAAAATCCAATAATATGCAAAAAATTAAAAACAATTCCAACTTTAAATGCTGTAGGATCATTAATTGTAAGCTTATTAGGCTTCTTTAATTTAATTATATTACAAGTAAAAAAAGAAATATAAAATTGCGATTTTTCATTTTCTTTTTTTTTTATTTTCAGGAAATCTGTTCTAAAATGTTCAAGCAATTGCCAAATTATGAGATTAATGAAACGGGTCCTCCTCATATGAAAACATTTTCTGTCACTTGTACTGTTTCAACATTTACTGCTTATGGTGATGGTAAATCGAAAAAACAAGCTAAAAATGAAGCTGCATTAAAAATGTGGGAAATGATTCATGAACATATATTCACAGAAACAATAAATTGTGATTCTCAGAACATAAAATTAGAAAATGAACAATCATTGCCAATGAATTTACAGTCTACGTTAAAAAATTCATTAAAAGAAAAATTGGATGAGAAAAATGTGGAAAATTCACAAAAAAAAGACAATGAAATTGTTCAGGCAAATTCAACGAATGGACAAATTTTCTCAGTCACTAAAGTTGAAATTCAAGATAAAAATGAGAGCGATGATCAATTGATTCCAGATTCTTCAATAAAAACAAAAGAAATTAACAAAACTGATGACAGTGCAAAAAATATCAAACCAGTTTCATCTTCGGATGAAAAAGTAACAGTCATTCCACCATCTGATGAAAAGGACAATAATGTAAATTCAATTTCATCATCGAATGAAAAGAAAAATAATGTAAAAGAAGTTATTGTCGGAAAAATTAACAATACCTTTGAAAAATTACAAAATACTCAAAATTCTCCTTTATTGAAATTTATGCAAATGAAAGCAAATGCAAATAAGGCACTTATATCTGATGGTCATTTTAAGAAATCTTTTTCAAATGAAATTCGAGAATTGGTATTAAAGCAGGTGATCAATTTAATTGATAAAATAACTAATGTAGATGAAATTACAGAAAAAATTGTTTTTGATGCAAGACAAAGTTTTTCGGAATTATTGAAACCATTGAAATTGATATATAAACATAGGAAATTAGAAACAAAATCGAGCAAAATTATAATACATGTTCAAATATCCACAAATCCTGATATTCATGAAATTGGAATTGCTGACAATCATCATCAAGCGGAAATAAATGGTATGAAACAAATTTTACATTTATTGACTAAATTGATGTAAATGATATCCATTTATACTTAATTATTCAAATTGAATAATCTATATATTGTTCTGGCTATTTAATGGCTTTTTCATTCATTTTTGTTTTATTAAAAAAAAATATATGTATTTCTTTGTTTCTCAACATAATGATTTTTTTGATTTAAAGAAAAAGAAAATTAATTTTTAGTTGTATAACAATTTTTTTTTTAAATTACTTTTTTTTTTGAGCAAAAAAATTGCTTTTAATATAATATTAATTTCGACTGTAATAAATTCTTGGATTGATGCAAGAATATAAATAATTCTTTATGATTTATTAACTAGATTATGTTAATGTTAAAAATTAATTAAATGAGATCTTTCTTGTGGAATTTATATTTAAAATGTTGACATTTTTAGCATGTTAAAAAATTAAATTGTCTATCGGTAGTGATAAAAAAATTTTTATTGTAAAAGAAAGTCTCGTGAAATTAATTTATGTATATATATATTTTTTTTTGTTGAAAGAGAAATATATGTAATAAATAAGTATTATAACTCAATAAAATAATATAAATAAATTAAGTTAAAATTAAAATTTTGTGATGTATTTACGTACGGTCTTCCTAATAATGTAATATATTTTTTAAATAACAAATTTTCTATTTGATATCACATAGTAAGGCAACACCTCGTAATGTCCAATGTCGTGGATTATAATCTGTCTCAAAATCAATTGATCCCACATATTTTTGATCTGTTCTCTGTGGTTTTCTATATATTGGACATTCGTATAATTTTGGATCTTTGCCAGCTGTTGTGTTAATTGCATAAATATAAATCACTGGCATTTGTTCGTAAAGAACTTTTGATTTACTTTCGACGAGTTTTCCACTTTTTCGATCCAATGAAGCACCTTCGAGAAATAAACCATGAACATAAACTCCCTCTTGTGGTTGATCCTTGATATCTTCTTTATTGTAACGTGTTATTAAATTTTGCAATACCACTGAATCCAATGCCCATCCTTTATGTGCTCTTGTAACTTCCTACAAAAAAAAAAGTATATTAATTTATATTTTTCAAAATTAAATACCTTTCTTTCTTTTTTTTTTTTTTACCTGACGCATTGCTGTTAAAAAACCTTGGGGATTAAAAAATCCAGTCATCCAAAAAGCAGTTGGTCTTCCATTATTACACCATTGTCGAAATTGATAATCTCTTTCTAATAATTCTGTATACCAAAAACCTAAAGTCGCTGATTCCCATGATATTTTTGACCATTTATCAGGAATTCTTGCATCGTACATTGCATCCAATGATGTACGTAAATTTTGGCTCATTACTATTGTACCATCGATTGCTAATTTTAAATTTGTCAAAGTAGAATGCACCTCTTTGATCACTTTCATAATTCTAAAATAAAAATATAAAAAAAATTACTTAAATTATTATTTACTAGCAAAATTAAACGCGCGCCAAATTGAGTATTTAATTGTTTATTATAAAGAAATTAAAGATTAATATTATCAATAATAATTTAATTTATTAGAATATTATTACATATTAAATGATAATAATGAAAATTATATGTTTACAGGCCTCGGATTATACGACTTTTTCCGACTTTTATCGACTTATTTTAATAAAATGCGACATTTTTTTTTTACATTTGAAAAAAAATGTAAATAAAATAAATTTTTTTAGTATAAAATTTATATCTTCTTCAGATATTCTTCAATTCAATTATTTAACAAATTTTGAACTAAAATGATTCTTCACTAAATTAATTATTTTTAATAATTTTAATGAAATACATTACAAATTCAATTATATTAAAATTATTTTTCAATTAAAATTTTTATGAAATTTAACAATTGTTTATAATTTTAAAAAAATATCACAATAAAATTGAATTATTTTTAAAAAATTTTAATTCAAAATAAACTAAAATTCAATTATTACCCGAAATTTTAATTCAAAATCAATTAAAAATCCAATAATTATCCAAAATTTTCAATTTAAAATTTAATTATTTACCAAGTTTTTAATTTAAAATGAAATAAAATTCAATTATTTTCTAAAATTTCTATTCAAAATTAATTATCCAAATTTTCAATCAAAAATGAACTTAAATTAAATTATTATCCAAAATTTCAATTAAAATTTAATTATTTCCCAAAATTTTCAATTCAAAATGAACTGACATTCAATTATTTTCCAAAATTAAAATAAAATAAAATTTCATTATTCTCAAAAATTTGAATTCAAAATTAATTGAATTTTCAATAATTTGAATTGAAAAGCATCTAAAATTTAATTATTTCTAAAATTTTCCATGAAATTTTTTTTTTGTTTTGAAATTTAATAATTTCAATTATAACTCTAAGGAAATTCAATTATTTTTAACTATTTTAATAATATTCTTTGAAAATTCAACTATCTGAAACCATTTTTGAATTAAAAATGATTTTCAAATTATTGTATTTTGTCCGCATTTTCTAATAAATTTTTAGTGAAATCATCTAAAATTTTAATTACAAAATACTTAAAGTTTCAATTAATTTCAAAAATCTCAATTTTAAATCTTTGAAAATTCAATTAAATTTAAAAAATGTTTTCCAAAAATTGTTTGATAAATTATTTTTAGTTCTGTAAAATTTAATAATTGTTTGAAAATTAACAATATTAATCAAGCATTTTATTATTATATAATTTTATATAACAAGAAACACACCTGTCGACCTCTTGTCTCAAAAATATATTCATTGGCAATAGTGGTCCCATTCTTTGTAGGGATTCTTTTACTTCAAATGAATTATATTGTTTTGGTAATTTAATTAGCATATCATCGGCCAATCTGTAAACAACACTTTCTCTAGTTTCACCACCTTGTGAGCCACCTTCTTTTGGTTGAACACTTAAAATTGTGTCCAATATACCCTTTGCAGTATTTATTTGATAAGTAATATCAGCATTTGGATGAAGTCCAAAAACTTCTGGCGTATCGTACTCTGGCAAATTATTTATATAATCAAGATAACCATGAAGATTTCGCGTTAACGGTACTCTATAACCCCTGTAAAATTCAAATCCCGAACGAAGAAGAACATCAGAGAACCAAACATGAGTGAATGTTGTAAGTAGACGTTTATCAAAATCGTCAGTAACTCTTCCACCGTATTGTACCTTTATGAAAATATTAATTTAATTGCAATAAATTTTTAATATTAAAGGTAAATAAAATTAAATAATTACTTCTCCTAGCATATAGCAAATAGTTGGCCAAGAAACTCCCTTTTTAGGATCCATGTCATCTAAATGATTTTGAATAAATTGAACTGATGCGGCAAAATCAGCTTGATTAAATTCATAAGGTATATTCCAGCCAAGTGGACCAAATTTTCTTCTCTCTTGAACAACTGTATGAAGAAAAGCAACTGCATAAAGAAGAGGTGGCCATTGTGGTTGTGTACTATAATCCAATGTATCCTGATTAACTCCTTGGTAAGTTCTTTTTAAACTAGCTCTTATACCCTGAGGTGGTTCATTGGTAAATTTGATAGCCATCTAAAAATAATATCAATCAAATTTCATGATAAATTAAGAAATATTTGATTATTTTATACTATTACAATTATTAAAAATACCTGTAACAATCCAATTGGAAATTGTGCATGCACTTCGGTTGTCATCCAAAGACGAAATGAATCATGAATACTATCAGTCTCAACAAGAACGTCCATTGCTTCCGTACAAAATGGAAGAGATAAATGAATATTTTGTAAAAGTACCCAACCACCGTCATTCATTGCGTCACTTATCATTTTTCTTGCATGATACTCTTGACCTTGACCCATTGACACTGATCGTAATTCTATAAAAAAAAGGTAGAAAATTAAAAAAAATTTAATTTCACCAAATTAAAATAATTATATTAATACTAACGTGTTGCTTTTTGTTTAGCCAAAACTGTAATCTGTGGACTTGGATCAGAACCAATTGATAATATACAAATAAGAGGTGTTCGTGGCTCAGATTCAAGCCAAGTTGCTTCTAAATCCAAAATTTTTGCCTCACCATATTCTTTGCCCAATGATTCAATGACATATTTTTTAGCTTGCGAGAGTGTCCTATCAGGACTCCATGAACGTATCATTAAAAGTTTTCTAAATACATCGAGACTCTTTTGATAACCACATGGCAAATCTTCCTCCTCGGGTCTTTCCTTCTCGTACCAATTTCTCCATTCTTTTTCACTAAATTCAATTTTTGTTAGTACCTCAGAAAAAACTTCAAGTTTACTTATTTCCACAAGATTTAACCATGTAATATCTAAAATCCATCGAAATGGTTTTGGTGTCACTCCATTAAGATCAAGTGATGCTCCACCTTTTATAAATGCATTAAATTCATCATGTGAAATTATTCCACGATGACAATCAATTTTCATTGCCAACATAAGTGTAAATAATGATTTATGCCTTTCGTAAAGACTTCTCAATGTGAATGCCCACACTTCATATGTTAAATGACGTAAAATATTATCAATTCGCTCTAAAGTTATTGAACTTTTTATTGATTTTGTTATTGAACTATCAAAAATTGTTAAAAATTGTTTTAACGAATTTTGATACATAACATTAACATTACTCATTTCGACAATTAAAAAATAAAGAATTGAACCACGTGCAGCAACAGCTCGAAATTCTTCACGAGCAATAGTAATTTTCTTTTCAGTAAGTGCTGATACCTGAAGTTTTTCATTAACTGATTCGGCTGTTGATTTTGTTTCCTGTAAAACATTTATTAATGCTTCATCATCGACCAATGAACCTTCGGATGATGTTAGTCGATGTAATAATGTACTCTCAAGTTCTTTCATTGATCTCTGATTTGTCATCACCGATTCAAATAATGCAACACGTTCAGCTTCAAGATCAGATTTCTCCATTAAAATCACACGACCCAAGAGCTGATCCTCCAATCCTTGCATTGTAACAGTAAAATCGATAATTGATGTTTTTGCTGATATTTCAGGACTATAGGCAGGATTTGGAAGTTTTGTTGTTATGTAAAGCATAAAACCAGGCATAACATCGCATTCCTTGTCGCCTACAATGACTTTTTCAATTGAACCCGATTTAATAAAGTTTTTTTCAAGAACATTATCAATTACAGGATCGAGTTCCTCAGCCACATCTTCTATTAAAAGTGGTCTTCCTAATGATAAACTATCTTCAAGATGTGTTCGAAAATATTTATGATTGAGAGAAGTGATTTGAAGTTCATTGGCGGATTCTTTATTTTTGACCCACATTTTTCCTTGATTTTGTGGATCAACCAACAATGGATATGAGGATGATTTTGTGACAATTAATGCATTTTGAACTGAGAGTTCATCATTTGGTAGACCTTGTAATGTCCATTCGGAAACTGTTGAAGATTCAACTAGCATATTAATAATGTTTAAATTCTGTGTAAAGGGAATTGTTCTTGTTGTTAGAATATTCATCCAAGATGATACAAGGGTAGCTCGATATTGTTGATTATAGGGTCCGCAATAGGAGAGAAAACCAGTTGCTAAAAGAACATCGCCTACGAGACGACCTAATTGAACTTTGAATTCTTTACTTTGTTCGGTCCATCTTAATTTTTCTCCACCTAATCCATTGATTAGAGCTGTTGCAGCTGTCATTTTTCGGAGACAAACATTAGCTGCTTCGGTTAGACGTTGTTTTTCTGAAACTGCAGCATCATATTGTTCCTTAACAGCTTGTAGGGCCATTTCTCTTTCCAATAGTTCACGTTCAGCGTCAGCAAGATCATCCATTGCTATCTTGAGTCTTGCTTCTTGAAGTGTAAGATTTGCCTTTAGAGGTAAAACTTCTTTATTAACGGAATGAAAAAATGACATTGCTTTTGTCCAAGAGAGTAAACCTGCCACATCACCGCAAACACGTCTAGCTGTTTCCATATTATAGTCTTCCATTTTAAAATAAGGCTGCAATAATTCGACCATTTCATTATTAATAATGTCCTTGGGATAATTTTGCAATTGTAGTAGAAATGTTGCACTGGCCATCATTTTCAACGATTCTGCCCAAGATGGTTTGGGACATTGTGCTGTTGCATCTGGAATTACGGAACCAACTTTTCTTTGAAATAAAATAAGCACACAATCCATAATTCGCATTATCAAATGAGGTGGTCGTCCTAATTTTCGCACAGTTGCTATGTGAGCTGGTTTAATTGTATTTAAAGCGGCTTCAGCTTCTTCTAATGCTGGTTTTGCTGCCTCCAATTTTTCCTCAGCCAATGCCTTTTCATTTGCAATACATTCGACAAGCTGTTCAGCTTTCTCTTTTACTTTTTGCACCTGATTTTTAAATGTCTCGGCCTGCATTGCACGTTCAGTGACTTCCAACAATACGGACTCTGCTTTCTCAGATGCTTGCACAAGTTCCTGTTCCATGACAGCAAGATCTCTTTTTAAAATTTCCACTGATATCGAAGCTTCCTCTAATTTTGCCAATCCAGTGTCCATTCTCTTTGCACCTTCACCTAATTCATGTTGTTTCATATGATAGATATTTTTATAGCCACCAATGAAATTTAAATACGATTTCGGTGTTACATGAGTGGCTCTTCGAAATCTTTGAAAATATTCCGATGATGTTTTAGCCACAACATCCTGTATTGTTCCTAAAGCATTCACCAATTGTCCTTTCACTTCATTTGTACATGCAATTTCAAAATCATGAAGAAAATGTTGTGCCACCAATGTTAAAGCATCACGTGGCCACGGCTGAAACCAATCTATCGTACAACCAGAAATTAATGCCGGAAATCGTTGTGCTCTATTGCGAAATTTCTCACCAACTGGTGAAAAACAAAAGACAACATGAAGATTTTGACATGTTCTTTGCAAAAAATGTTCCATTACAATTTCATTATTTAACGTTCGTTTTGGATTTTCTCTCTTTAATGATGGTGTCAATTCAGAAATAATTTCAGCCTGTTCATCCCGTGTAAATAAATTACTAATAACACCCGAACTTAAAATATTATTCAAATATTCCAAAAAACCCTCTTCCTTAATATCAAGATCGGTGAAAATAAATGTTGTACCTTTACCCTGTCCTCCACATGTTCTATAGAGAAATTTCAAATCCTCAAGAAAATTTGCAACATTATAAGATCTTGTCAATGTAATTTGAAATGTTTTATAACCGGCAATAAATGATGAAAGTTTTGTTAAACTTTGCTTTCCTGAACCACCAACACCAACTAACATAACATTACCCCTTGGATGTCTAATAACACGGGATATTTTCACCAAATGTAACATTGCATCGGGGAAAAAAACTAAATCCATACCCGATCCTCTTTGCATTTCATTAAATTGCGAGAGAAACATTTCTAATCGATCTCTAAGTATTTGATGATCATAAACTGGTTCATAAACTTTTGGTAATTCCATATCAGTGTCCTCACCTTCTTCTCCAGTTGGCTCTGGTGCATCTCTCATAAAATCAACAAATGCCGGATCAAGGCCAATCATATCGACATAAGAATCACCTAATGTATTCTTAACAACTTGAATTAATTCTTTATCAAACCAATTTTTATCAGCTTTCAATGTAAAACGATCACTAAATACCCGTGTGCATTCATGCTTCCAAAGAAGCATTAAAATACTTTCTTTTTCAATCACTGTCGACAATGTTCCCACCATTCCTTGCCAAATACGCGATAAATCTCTTAAACTAAAAACATAATGAAATTTTGCCGGTGTTGGTAATAGAGTGTCACGCGTTTTTTGCCACAATACTCTTGTCAATGGAACTAATTTCTTTATTAAATTTCTCACTTCTAGTGAAAAGCCCCTTTTTGAATTATAGTGACCCTCACCTAATACACTAAAAATTCGATCAATTGACAAATCATTTGGTAATGTACAATTAAAAATACAAAATTGTCTCTTTAATCTCGATGGAATATCATTTCGTCCTCCACCTGGTTGTCCCATTGCGCCCAAAAATGTAACATCAACAATATTAGTGAAATCACCTGGTTTCTCCAATGAATAAAATCCCTTCATATCCATTGTCTGTCGGACAATTTCATTCGTAACTTGATCACCCCATTCATTTATTTGTGGTAGATTTATATCGTCAATGAAAACTAACATTTTTTTACCACCCGGTGGTCCAAAAGTATTGCCCATTCGTTTTTCCACATAACTTTCAATTGTTTTTTGAAATTGATATGGAGTTGTCGCCGAACTAAAATTAAATGATCGACTCAATGTTGTTTCTTGATTTGCTCGTTTCATGTATGCCTTTAACATAACAGTTTTTGCTGAACCTTGTTCACCAGTTAATAACACTGCTCTATCCTGACGACCAATTAAATCAATTAAATATTGTATTCTCACATTATCGGTTATTGGCACAAGAATACTATTATAATCAGGTGTTGCATAATCTGGATACATGTAATTTGTCACCAAACTCTGCCAAATGTCCCATTTTCCCTTTTCATTAACAAAAAAATCAAATATCGTTGCTTTTGGATACTTTTCTGATTTTGGTAAATCCAAAAATTGAAAATTATCCCTAAGATGTTGATCATATTTTAATCTGTCATCAGTTTCAAGAAGTGAACCTATTCCCCAAATTAGTGCAAAAACATAAAATCGTTTCAAATGCTCCGCTGTCATTGGCTGGGGATGAAATTTCTCAATCTCATCTTCGTCATTTTCATTCTCCGGTTCAACTTCCTGTGGTACTAATCCTTCCAAAAGGCATAACATTTGTCGTACCATGTTACATTCGAGAACTTGAATTGCCAAATTTACATTTTGGGTCGTCCATGTGTAAATCTGAAAATTTACAGTATAGAAATTTTACATTTATTGTACATTATTTATCGATTTTACCTGAACAAATGATTCCTCAAATGATTTTTCAAAAATTTCCTGTTCAAGTGACGTTCTACCCTTGAGCCATGCAGTGACAACTGGATTCCAATCCAATCCTGATGAACTCATGTAGACCATTCCATTACGTGAAACAGTTGCAGGACTAGCATTATCAATATTATGTGGTTCAAATATTATCTTACAAGTTGAAGCCATTGATAATCTATCTCCATTTGCTAATGTCAATGTTTTATTATCATCCAAAACTGAATTTAAATTTTCAATCCAAATACTATCGACAGGTCCATCCAAAACCAACCATACATGCTCTCCTGGTTTCAATTTTAATGTCTTTCGCCATAATGCCGAAAATATTCCATCTGTCCAATCATTTGTCGCCACATCCAATCGACCAAACATTTGCGCCGCTGTTATACTCTTTGGATTCATTCTCATTTCTCTAAAAGAAAAAAAGAAAAAAAAATTTTTAATTAATTAAACTATTAAATTATAAAATCACCTATGAGCGTCGCCACACTGAGTCAGTGCTTTCATTAAAACATGAATGCAGCTCGTTTTGCCAGCTCCCGTTGGTCCAAGAGTCATAATTCCATGTCTAACACGTTGCGTCTCATACAATTGAATTAATTTCAAAACCCATGGTGGATGATAAATTAATCCCGCCTCCTTAATTTGTTGATCAATCGCAGCCTCTAATTCCGGATAGGCCGTTTTCTCAAGAACCTGATTTGGAAAAAGATCAGCTACCAATGATATAAAAAGTGGCTCATCCTCATCTGTAGAAATTATCAATTATTATTTCTCTTCATTTTTTTTTAAAAATAATTAGTAAATTTACCAATTAGTTTCGAAAGATTCATGTCCCTCAGCACTCGCATAACAATTGTACTTTCAGAATCTTTGGAATTTGTTCTTTTCGCCGCTCCAAGTGTTCTTAGAACCGAGAGAATATTTCTTAAACCAAAATCATAATGTACTTGTTTTGTTAATTGCTCCTCGCACAATTTATAAAGTGTATAAAATTTTCTTGCAAGCGTGATATTTTCCAAAAAACCACAACTCGCGAGTTTTACTCTAATAATAATTTGTCTATCAGGCACCATCATTGCAACAGTTCGAAATTGAATTTTTAAATTTTCTGGCAATTCTTTTCTCCCTGCATAACCTGGATTCTGAAAAAAATTATTAATTTATTTATCATATATTAAAAAAAAATTAATTTCAATTTATTACCATTGTTATAAATATACCCAATTCGGGACACATGTCAATTTGATCGCCATCGGTAAATAAAAATTGTTTTTTCTTTTCTTTTTTTGCTGCCAAAACAACGGCAACTTGTTGTGCGGCCACTGAAAGAACTGGTAATTCAATTCTATTGAATTCATCAAAACAACCCCATGAACCACTTTGCGCAAGTCCTTTATAAATACGACCCAATCCTCTATAGTCCATTTGATCAGAGCAATTAAAAACAACAACATATTTTGCTAATGTTTTTCCCATGTCTTTAACAGTTTCAGTTTTTCCCGTTCCAGCTGGTCCACAAGGTGAACCACCCATTGACATTGATAATGCTTGTGCCAAAGTAATGTAGCATCTGTCAATAAATTTTTTTTTTTTTTAAATTGAAATAAAAATCATTTGACACACAAGATCATTTTGAACCAAAAACAAAAAAAAAAAAATTATGCTCAAAAATCAATATACCTGTCTGTTAATGGTGTTATCACTAATCTCTCAGTACAACCAAGATATTCATTCATATAAGTGAATTGAACGTCTGTTATGTGAATAGCAGTTTTATCAAGATCTTCCTTAAAATAAAAACGACATTGTTTCAACCATTCAAAATCATTTACTGAACGAACGCTTAATCGGCACTGAAATAACAAAATTATATAAATTAAATGTAGAACAAATTTTTTTTTTTTACAATAATTTGATAAATTATTTGTTGCACTTACAAGAATATCGAAAATATCACGTTGATGAACATGAATAGTTATCAATGTTTCAAATTTTGTTCTATCAATTTTAGTTAAATCTCTTGTTGTCTGATCAATAAGTGTATTAAGTAATTCCAAAAATCGATTATTTGTTTCGCTCATAATTTTTTTATCATTTCTCGCTTGCATTAATGCCAATTCAGCGTCTCTTGTCCAAATCATTTGTATTCCTAAAATACCAACTTGCGCTGGCATTTTATCAAGAAAAAGTAGTAAATTAAAATTTTGATCATTTATCATAACATAAGCTTGACGTATAATTGAATGTAAAGATTGTTGAGATGTTTGTAAAAGTTGCATTAACCATGTTTCGACTGATCCCTCAGCTCTTACTGCTCTTTCGAGCTGAAAAAAGATTAAATAAAATTCTTTACTTTAATCTATAGTAAACTTTAGTAGTGTTACTTGCAAAAATTATTTAAAAAAAAAAATTTAAGGTGACTGAAAAACAAAAATTTTTCTTGTACTACTGATAAAATTATAAAAATTAAATATCTGACTGAATATTTACTTGTACTACATTTAAAATTATAAAATTTAAATATTCTGACTAAATACGTACTTGTACTACTTTTAAAATTATAAAATTTAAATATTCTGACTAAATACGTACTTGTACTACTTTTAAAATTATAAAATTTAAATATTCTGACTAAATATGTACTTGTACTACTTGGAAAATAATAAAACTTAAATGTCTGAGCAAACACTTACTTGTACTACTAATAAAATGACAAAATTGAAAAAAGTCTGACTAAACACTTATTTTTGTACTACTTATAAAATGATAAAAAATTAGTTTGACTAAATATTTATTTGTACTACTTATAAAATTATAAAATTTAAATGTCTAAGCAGACACTTACTAGTACTACTGATAAAATAACAAAATTTAAATGTCTGACTAAACACGTACTTGTACTACTTGGAAAATAATAAAACTTAAATGTCTGAGCAAACACTCACTTGTACTACTAATAAAATGTCAAAATTTTGAAAAGGCTGACTAAACACTTCCTTGTACTACTGATAAAATAACAAAACTTAAAAAGTCTGACCAAAGAATTACTTATACTACTTATAAAATTATAAAAATTAAATATCTGACTGAATATTTACTTGTACTACTTTTAAAATTATAAAATTTAAATGTCTGACTAAACACTTACTGGTACTACTTTAAAAATTATAAAATTTAAATGTCTGCCTAAACACGAACTTTGTACTACTTTTAAAATTATAAAATTTAAATGTCTGAGCAAACACTTACTTGTACTACTAATAAAATGACAAAATTTTAAAAAGGCTGACTAAACACTTCCTTGTACTACTGATAAAATAACAAAACTTAAATGTCTGACTAAACACTAACTTGTACTACTTTTAAAATTATAAAATTTAAATGTCTGAGCAAACACTTACTTGTACTACTAATAAAATGACAAAATTGAAAAAAGTCTGACTAAACACTTATTTTTGTACTACTTATAAAATGATAAAAAATTAGTTTGACTAAATATTTATTTGTACTACTTATAAAATTATAAAATTTAAATGTCTGAGCAGACGCTTACTAGTACTACTGATAAAATGCCAAAATTTAAAAAAGTATGACTAAACACTTCTACTTGTACTACTGATAAAATTATAAAAAATTATAAAAAAAAACTAAGAACTTAATTCTAAATTCTTGTATTTAACTAATGTCATACAATAATTGTTTCTCCCTCCGATGATATAATAGCCATCATTTTGTTGTATTCAATGTCATGAAATTTGACAAATCTTGTATTATCAAATATTGATAATAAATGATTTTGAATTGTATGTGAATCTGAAGCTTGTCCTAAAATTTCCAATAAAGCCGGATCACTAACAAAAAAGAATCTTGGAAACATCATTCTTTTTTTCTCCAAATATCTGAGAACAAAAAAAAAAAAATAAAGTTTAAAAACTTTTCACAAAATGATCTAATTTTGTCAATTTATATGAAAAAAAGAACACTCACCCACTGAGGGATTTTTGACACAATTCCAATTGTTCTTGTAAATGTGGAAGTAATTGTTTAAGTAAATCATCACCAACACAACAAGGCACAACACCAGGTGTTTCATGTGCCCTTTGCATTATTTTTTGCCAACTTTTATCAATTTTACTAAATCTTTTTGCCTCCTTTGGCAATTGTTTTGCAATATCACCGCCAACAAATACAGCCTCAAGATAAACCCACATATTTTGTACCAATAGCCATCTTTCTAAAATTTCATTAGTATTTGACAAATCGCCAAGCCATTGTTGTATTTGCTTTCGAAATGGTGCATTATAACGATTTGACATTAATGATCCCAATATCATTAGACTATCTTCAAGTTGTCCAATTGTTTCTGCTGTTGTATCACCTCTTAATAATAATTCACCTCTATTATTAAATGTCATAAATGTCAATTCATGCGATGACCATTCATTAACAACTTGTCTTAATTTAGCTTCAATATCCTTTTCTTTCATAGCAGAAATACAAATATCCTCAATATCCTCCTTATGCTTTAATAATGGCGCTTCGAGAATATTTTTTAAACAAAAACCCTCACTTTCTAAATCAAATATATGACTAGTTACCTCAACAATTCTTTGCCAATGACGTGGTTTCATTGCTTTATTTGCCATTAATTCCAATAATGGACACATATCATTAAAATCGTCAATTGTTTTTTTCAATGCAAAAAATGCTGGCCATTCCTTTAAACCTTTTGGCAATTTGCGACAACGATTTTGAAATTCCATTAATTCATTATTTATCTCTTCAATATTAACTTCACCCCATGGAATATCATAATAACTACTAACTCTATCAATAACATCATTATATAATTTATATAATTTTTGAAGAAGATTAAGCTCCTTTCTTATTTGTGATAATTCAGGATAATCAGTTGTTGGCAATCCAAATAATTCCTCGCCATTTTGATAGGTTTGCAATTTTCGCCACATTCCATCGAAACGATTTTGAAATAAAATTTGACGATCTGACGCCTCACGTGGCGTTAAACCCGATTGCATTGGACCTGAATGTCTATATTCATCGCAATAATTTTCATTATCATAACGAAATTTATCTAAATTATTTTTTAATTCCTCTTCAAATTGTGGCTGAAGTGTTAATAAAAGAACATGACTATCCAATGCACGCGCTTGCAATTGTTGCCATGTGTAACGAAGATTATCAACTTGTTCAAGACATTCACGATCAACGGGTACATCATATCTTGTTACAATATTAAATGCCTCTTCAATTGGATCAATTTTTAATTCCATATCAACTTCTTGTTCGCGTATTTTTTTCAATGTCTCCATTATTAAACGAACATCATCCAAATCACGTATTTGTCGATCTAATTTTCTTTCCATTTCATTAATAACCGCATAAACATATTCCATTTCTCTTCGATATTTTTTTTTCATCGCTTGTCCAATTTTATGCGTCGATCCTAAATATATATACACAGAAAATTATTAAAAGGCATTAAAATATAAGCTGCAATGCTTATTATTTTAATCCAATTTTGCTTATTTTAATTCATTTTGTTATTAAAATAAGCAAAATTTAAAAAAATTTTTAAATCATTTGGTCAGATTTAAGATATTAATATGATAAATGAGCCTACCAAATTTTATCTAAATCTATTAAAACCTGTTAAAATTATCTTCTAAACAAAAAAGAGATCCACAAACACACACATCCGGACAATTGATCACGATCTCATATAACATGTTTCTATATAGAGAAAAATTTGTTTCCGACACTTTGAAAATTTTTATAAACGAAAGAATTACAAAGCTTATACCCAGGTGAAACGATTCTACGGAAACTATACTCCACGGAAATTCCGTACGGAATTCCGTAAAAATTTCCGCAAAATTTTTGAAAGAAGTTGTTTTGTAATTTTGCGAATTTTTTATAAGAATTACACACATAATCTCTATACAGAATTGTAAAAAATTTTTGTTAGAATTTCACAACTGTACACTGAAAAAAATTTAGCCGAAATCCTCAACTACCTTTAGTTAATTGACATCTCAAATAAGTTTGACTAGATATTAATTAATCTATATCATAAATTCTATATTATATCCACCAGAAACATCATCGTCGACTAGTTTTCGTTATAGTAGCAGCAGTTATTTTAAAATCACAAAAAAATCAGTAAAAAATAAAAACAGAAAATTAAAAGGCATTAAATTAAGCTGCAACGCTTATTATTTTAATCCAGTTTTGCTTATTTTAATCCATTTTGGTATTAAAATAAGCAAAAATTGGATTAAAATAATAAGCGTTGCAGCTTATTTTAATACCTTTTAATTTTCTGTGAAGTGGTGGAATTTTATTGAAAATTTTTTTGCAATTCTGTATGGAATTCTTCAAAAAAAAAAAATTCGCAAAATTACGAAAGGAATACTTTCAAAATTTTGCGGAATTCCGTATATGGAATTTCCGTGAAGTGATTTCCGTAGAATCGTTTCACCTGGGATATTCCTCCACGAGGAAGCAAAAAAAAAAAAAATGAAAATAAATACCTTTTATGTCCATATAGAGTCCGTATTTAAGTTTTTCTGTTGCTATTGCAATTGATGAGCCAAGAATCACCATATCTGGTTCCGTTGCCAATTTATCTTCCAATTCACCATGTTTTCTTAGCATACTTTCAAAATTTGTCAATGATGTTTGTAATAGTTCCCTAACACTTTTTTCATTTTTCCATAAAAATTTATATGGTTTCCATCTATCCATAAAATCATTAAGATCCTGTTTTAAATCCATTGTGCATGTACTTAATAATCCTAACATTTTGATAATTTCCTTATTCTCCATTACTAGAGAATAAAAATTACGTTGCTGATTAGGAAATTCAGTTTTCTCTTCAGAAAATATTTTATATAATCTTCGTCTTCTTGTTTTTGGATCTTCTGGATTTTCTTGACTTTTTTTTTCGGCGTCGACTTGTGCATTTTTCACAATATCAACTAAATTCTTTTTCGGTGCCCATGGTAAACTCTTCCAATGATGCTATTATCAGAAAAAGAAAAATTCATTTTTCTATTTTATAATTGAAATTTTATTTTTTATATACCTTTTCATTTGCTTTACTTCCACCGGCATTCCATTGTGATACACCTTTTGATACTCCAGATATTGTTCTTCCAATTGCTGTTAAAGCATCTTGAACTTCATCTAAACTGTGTCTAACAATTACTGACGGTATCATTAATGTGGCATGAAGTAAAAACACAGGCTGTGGTGATTTTTCTATTTTAAAAAAAGGATAATTAAAACTTTATTAAATTAACAAAATTATTGTAACAAAATTATTATAAATAATAAAAAAAAATAAATATAATATACCTGAATCAATTTCAAGAACAAATCGTTTTCTAATTGCGTCCAATGATGTTTTAGTTACTTTTATCAGTACATCAACAACTTTTCGTGAATAGTATCGTCTCATTTCAGAAACAGCATTTCGTACCATTTCCTGCATTCCTTTTGATAAACCACCACCAGGTGTTGATAATAATTGATGTGGATTATCAAAACATGCCCAAACAACTGACCAATCTTGTTGTTGTTGTTGTTGAGATGTTTCATTTTTCTTTTCCTGTGCTGATATATTTAAAAAAAAAGTGCATTTAATATTTTCAAAACCATTTTTTTCAACTTAAATCAGAAAATAATAATTTATTATTATTTATTAATTTTTCTTATTTAATTTATGAAAGTTAGTCATTTTTTTTTATTATTGAAAATAATTAATTATCATTATCGTTATAATTACTAACAATCAGCATTTAAATAGTCAAATTGATCAGAATCGGCTTCACTTTTGAAAGCAATTGCTGCATTTCTAACAAGATCCAATACTTCTTCAACAGCTTCTTCCACCATTTTACTCTTTCGATTCAAATCTTCAGCAGCTGTTCTGCAAGTTTCTTCAATTTTTTCTATAAAATTTTCTACATTCCATGGCTCATCTTCCGGTAGTGAATGAAGAGTGATTTTTTGCATACTTGCCAATACCTGTAAAATTCTAAGCGGAAATTTATTTTTTTATCATCAAATTATAATAAATTTATTTTAATTATTATTTGGATCATTATTTAATTGATTGAAAAAAAAATTAATTATTAGTTCAAATTTTGATTCAAATGATAATTATAAATAATTAATATTTTGATTTTAATTATTAAAAAAAAAAAAAAAAAAAAAAAAAAAAAAAAAAAAAAAAAAAAAAAAAAAAAAAAAAAAAAAAAAAAAAACCTGTTTGTATAGACGTCGTGAACACGAGTTATGAGAATACCAAAAGTTTTTATTTGATCACGAGTATTTTGATAAAATGTCTTCCATTCTTTATTTGTCCAATTTAATGTGACAAGACCAGATGTTAAAAGTGATGATACACGTACAAGATGGGGCAATAACAATGGTCTCACTTCTAATTTTACTCTTCTTGACGTTGACACAAATTCATCCATCAAAAGTTGAAGTGAATCGTTTATTAATATAAAATGCTCCTTTTTGGAAAGAATTGTCAATGCCACCACTGGCAATTCCAATTTCATTTTCACTAAACAATCGGATTCACGAAGAAGAAGCAAAATTCGACTATCTAAATTGACTTTTACTTTCTTACTTTCTTGATCGAGTGCCAATAATGGTCTAAAAAAAAAAAAAAAAAAATTAATTTCAATATTGAAAAATTTCTTCAAATACCAATTTCAGAGAAATATTTTATTCTCAGAGCCAAACCCATTTGGAAAGATTTCCCGGAAAGTGACCCCTGGAGGTTCTATCAGAATTCCGCCGGAACTTCCAACGTAATTCCGTCGGAGTTCCAAAGAATTTCCGATGGGATTCCAACGGAATTAGGACTCTAAAATTTTTGAAAAAAATTAATCGGAATTCCGTCGGAATCCCATCGGAAATTCTTTGGAACTCCGATGGAATTACGTTGGAAGTTCCGGCGGAATCCCATAGGAAATTCTTTGGAACTCCGATGGAATTACGTTGGAAGTTCCGGCGGAATCCCTTGGGAATTTTTTTGGAACTCCGATGGAATTCCGACGGAATTACCTTGGAAGTTCCGGCGGAATCCCATAGGGAATTCTTTGGAACTCCGACGGAATTACGTTGGAAGTTCCGGCGTAATCCCATAGGAAATTCTTTGGAACTCCGATGGAATTCCGACGGAATTACGTTGGAAGTTCCGGCGGAATCCCATAGGAAATTCTTTGGAATTCCGACGGAATTACGTTAGAAGTTCCGGCGGAATCCCATAGGAAATTCTTTGGAACTCCGATGGAATTCCGACGGAATTACGTTGGAAGTTCCGGCGGAATCCCATAGGAAATTCTTTGGAATTCCGACGGAATTACGTTAGAAGTTCCGGCGGAATCCCATAGGAAATTCTTTGGAACTCCGATGGAATTCCGACGGAATTACCTTGGAAGTTCGGGCGGAATCCCTTGGGAATTTTTTTGGAACTCCGATGGAATTCCGACGGAATTACGTTAGAAGTTCCGGCGGAATCCCATAGGAAATTCTTTGGAATTCCGACGGAATTACGTTAGAAGTTCCGGCGGAATCCCATAGGAAATTCTTTGGAATTCCGACGGGATTACGTTGAAAGTTCCGGCGGAATTCTGATAGAATCTCCAGGCGGCACTTTTCGGGGAATCTTTCCAAAAGTGGATAATAACTTTTTATTTGTTTCAAATACAAAAAATTTATTATATGAAAAAACAAATATTTATTTGGCTAAGATAAATATATCCTTTCTCTGCATGTGTAAATAATATTATGAAGGGAGGAAAATATATATAATAATGAAACAAACTTTTTTAATGCTTCTTCAATCACCCATGAATTTTGATGTGTCCAAACTTCACCAATGTCTGTTTGATATTGTGAAATAACAGAAATTGCATGATTATATCTTTTTATAAGATCAGCTGTTACAGGTAAAGTTTTTAAAATTGGATGACTTGAAACTGAATGTGCAAGATCATTCAAATGAACCCTGAAAAAAAAAGAATTATACTAATTTTTTTTTTTTTTGGGGGGGGGGGGAATTTCTCCAAGATGAATAATTTTTTTTAAAAATTTCAAACTTTAATGAATGTGCCCAAATTAATCTTCCAGCAATTGGCGGCAAATGTCTTGGCAATGGTGGATCGTCCTTTTGTTTTTTGAACAATTTCAAAATTCGTTCAATTTCCTTATCACAATAGCGTACAACCATCACATATTTTTCATCTAATTTTGTTAATGGAATTTTTTCACTCACCTAAAATAATAAATTTGTGTTTCTTTATCATATTCGTATAATTATTTATTAATTATTTATTAATTATTAATTAATTGTTAGTTATTTATTAATTAATTTAATAATATATAATTACACTTTCAAAACGAGTTAAAAAACGAATGCTTTGTGGCGTTTCCCAAACATCGGCATAATTTTTTTCAATAATTTCACCGATATCTTTTTTTAATGTATCAGTTTTTTTCATTAATTCATTATAATCTTTGTCGAATTCCAAATTTCTTGGATCTAAATAATCATAAGATTTACTGGTAGCAATTTTTTTTGCCTCATCAAAAGTTTTCATTGCTTCATCTAGAGCTAAAATATTTTTATTTTATGTATAAAATTTTATTTTAGTTTTATTATTTATATATATATATAATATTAATATTATTATTATATTATTAATATACCTTCCCCTAATAATAAACCCTCCATTCTTCTTTTAAATAATCCCTGATAATCTTCAATAAGATCAAACATTGTTAAAATATTTTTAATTCTTGCACAAAATGAATCAAATCTTCCAAAAACTTGTGTCTCGGAAAAAATAAATTCCTTCTCTGTTATTGCTGGTGAACATCTAACGAGGCGATATGTTTCTCTGTATGCTCTAGAATTTAAGAAAAAAAATTTTTTAAATGACAAATTTTATTAATTTATTAAAAAAAAGTAGTTTATTTTATTTTTTTTTATTTTACTTATTTAATCGTAAACAATGTTTTAATCTTTGTCTCGCAATATTTCTATCCTGTGTCCAAACATTTTCCCGTCCTCTTTGAGTAACGTAATCTCTACATGCTGCAATCATTTGATTTGTAATTTTCACCATTAATGAACTTGTTCTTTCTGAAGTGTTGTAATATCTCGAAACACTGTAAATCAATCTAACAGTTTGCAAAAGTGACACCAATGAATCTCGCATTCTCACCTTAAATATAAAAAAAAAAATTTTTAAATATTATTTAAAAAATATATTTTTTGAAAAATTGAAAATGATTTACCGGATCATCAAGATAGAGGCAATGACAACATTTTTCTAAGGCTTGAATAAATTTTGCATTGTCCTTCGCCTCATTAAAGCAGTAAATTACTTCGTCTTCTGTATCAACCCAATTTTTAATTAATTTCGATCTCATTACTTGAAGACACAAGAGAGACATTTTTATTTCATGTTCCTAAATATTTTGAGGAATTTAAATAAATTTTTTTCACACAATATTACAATAATAATTTTAATAATAATAATAATAATAATAATAATAATTAACCTGTAATTTTTTAACAAGTTGACTAAATTGTGCTCCTCTACGTTTCCAATATTCTAATTCTTGTTGTGGACCAGAACAATCATTCTCTCTTCGAATTTGTTTGCTCTCAAGAATAAAATCTTTCAATTTTTTTGTCCAAATACGAACTCGTTCTTCAACTTTTTCAGCTGATTGAATATTTGAAATAAATAATTTTGCATCATCAAAATTATGAATCTCATCCATTAATAATTCTCCATCATCAAAAATGCTTCCATCTTGAGCAACTTCCTCGCAAACTTTATGAAATTTTTGTAATAATATAATAATCAATTTAAATTAAATTATAATTCTTGCATCAATTATAAATTATTACTTTTTTTTTTGTTACAAAATTTTTTAATTTCAGAAATAATTATTCGAAATTATTTCTATTAAATTTTTTTTTTTTTTTTTAAATGGTAAATAAAAATAAAAATTTGTTTAACCTTTTAAAGCGCTACAAAATGATCGTAAACCAGGAAGTAAAAGACTTTTGATCATTGGACAATCATCGTCGTCCTCAATTCCAGGATGTGCTAATGCATCCATAAAAACAAATTCCACAATTCTTTGTATTGATGGTATCACTCCAACTTTTTTAGTATCTATTACGCCTGTATAGAGATCTTTTTGAAAACCTTCTTCTGGTAATTGTTTCGTGACACTGATTCTAAAAATAAAAAATACAATTTTCTTAAATTAAAAATTTTTTATTTTTTTATTATTATATTCAATATTTTAATTTGCATTTCTCACCGAAACATATAGACACATATTCCTGTACATGGAATTTGCCAACCATCAGTGAGGAATAATTTTTTTTTCGGTGGATCTTTTTGTTCTTTTATTTCTTTCACTTTTGGCACTGTGGCATTTCCTTGTTGTCTAGTGGAAGTCTTATTTGTTGTTACCTTGAAATAATTTTTTTTTTTTCAATTATGGATTTTTTTAGTAAAAATTATTGTTGAATATTGGAGAAATTATTTTTTGGAATTTTTTTTTTTTTTTGAATTATAAATACCGTCTCGGTTATTTTAAGAATTTCCGGTTCGTCAACTTCTTGATAATACCACATGAGAGTTGATTTCATATGTGGCAAGAATAATTGATTAATTTCATCCAGCATATCACCTTCAAAAACATTATCCATAACTTCATGACGAGGAAGTCCCGTTGCGTCCATTAATAATTGAAAAGCAAATTCGAGACGTGGATCCATTTCCCCACGACGGGCTTTTCTCTCGCATTCTTCTCGTCTTTTCTAAAAAACATACATTTACAATTTTATTTACTAAATTCATTAATTTTTTTTTTTTATAATTTAATGAATTTTTTATTTTACCTCATAATTTTATTTACTATTTACTTATTTTAGTATTATTAATATAATTTACAAATTTCATATTTTTATGTAGATTTTTTTAATTAAATTTAATTTAAATTTTAAATAATTTTTATCATTTTTTATAGTAAAAACAACCTGAAGAATATCATCACCAGTAGCATCTTCTTCACTAGATTCCTCAGAAATTTCCGATCCCTGTGGGACCATTTGTGGTCCTTGAACGAACATTTTTTTTTTTATGACAAATCGCAAATAAATTTTATTTATTAACTTTTTTTTATTTATTTTATCAAAAAAAAAAGAAAGAAATTATTTAAATTTTGATTTTTAAAAAAGAAATATTCCTGAATAATAAAATCAGACTGAAAATGAAATTGTTTAATTTTTAACACTATCGGCGCGCAATAAAATGAGAGAAGTTGGGAGTGAAAATAAATGAGGGTGCGAGGTAAGAAGGTGTGAGTATCATGTTTGGTACCAGGTACCAATACCTCCCTCCCCCCCACACTATATATTCTATTTCAATTTCAATCGACCTGTATGACAGTTGATTTCTGACTTTCAAGGTGTTAAAGAATTTAAGTGACAAATATTTATTATAAAAAGAAGAAAAATATTTTTTGAAAAAGAAAGAAGAAAAAGAGAAAAATTAATATACGAACTAGAGAATTTTTACATAGTAAAATGTAAATGGCTGAAAATAAATAAATGAATTTTTTTTGCCAATAATTCAGGTCAGTAAATTTCTTTTCTTAATAATTTTATTATTAAACAAAACTATAATAATTAAAAAAATATTTTATTTCAAATTATACGGATTTAAGGCTTCTTTTTCTATTAAGAAATAATAATATTTAAATTATAAAGGAATTTGTAAAATAAAATAATAATTATTTATTTAATTCATGGACCAAAAAAATCAAAATTAAAAAAAAAACAGTGGTAATAGAAAATATTAGATAATAATAGTTAATAAAATAATAATAATAAGATAATAATAATTAATAATAAAAAAAATGTAATTGTTATAATAGTTATTATAATACAATTTTTATTTCTGGAGAATTATATTTATAAACTGTTTTTTTTCTATAATAAAAAAGAATAATAAAAAAAAATGTTTTGATAAACATCAAAACAAATAATATTGTATAATTTTATATAATAAAAATTATATTTTTTAAATATTTTTCCAAAATATAAATTTTACTAGACAATATCTTACTTTTGCATCGTTCACATCTTCTGCCATTTTTTTTTTTGTAATATTCTAATTAAAAATGAATTTTCTTTTATATAAATGATATTTTTTTATAGAATATTTTTCTACTTTTTCAGCTCTTCTTTCTTGTTATGGAGTTACTTTACTGTATTATAACAACTGAGAGATTCTTCAACTAACTCGATGTCATCATTTTCTTTTTTTCCCCTTCCTATTGCCCTTTTAGTTCCATTTCTGCTAATAATAAACCCTGTTTTAAGGACAAAACAATATTCTACTTTCCGTCGTTTGTGAAAATCGATTAAACTTCATAACGATAATTTTTTTTTTTTACGTTCACTATAATATTTCCCGTATAGAATTTTTTTTTCTCTTCCCCCCTTCTTTTTTTTATTAATTATAATTTATATTTTATTTACATTTTGTTTAATTATACTATTTTTTTTATATTAATTATTGATTATTTATTTATTTGAAAATAGTTTTATAAATTTATTTCGGTTAATTTTTGCCTGAAAATTTAAATTATGAAAAAATAATTACTATTTTGTTTAAAATTTTTTTTTTTATAATAGTTTTTTAATAGTTTATTTAAAATTAATATTACAAAATATTTGTACTATTGTAATAATTGAATATTGATGAAAAATTTTGATAATTGTTTGGAAATTTATTGACTTCGAAACAGACAAGTAGTAACAGTCTGTGTCAGGCCAGACGCAATAATGTCAATGATCTCTCTCTCTCTCTCTCTCTCTTTCTCTTTCTTTTTAAGCTGAGTTTAAATAATCAAAAATTAAAAAATAAACCAAAAAAACATAAACATGAAATTTAAATAATAATAATAGAAACAATAACATTTTTTTAAAACTAATAATACATAACAATAAAAAAAAAATAATATATAATGCTAAATTTTCATTTATAAAATATTTTAAAATCTCATAAAAATATTTTTCTTAAAGTAAAAAAAAAAAATTTATAAAACGCTTCAAATAGAATTCTGTCGATAAAAATAGATTTCAGGTACTTTTTGCACCGATATATATAGTTATTAAAGCTCTGTCGTTGGCACAAAGCCAAGTTTCCAATCATTGATCGAAAAAAAGAAAAAGATTTTTTTGTGAAAAGAAAATTTTTTGCAAAATTTTTTTACATTATTGTAATTATTGCACAAAGCCAAGTTTCAATCATTGATCGAAAAAAAGAAAAAGATTTTTTTGTCAAAAGAAAATTTTTTTTCAAAATTTTTTTAACATTATTGTAAAGTTTTGTTTTTTTTTTTATCTCTGAAATATTTTCAAATTTTTTTTTGTATTTATTAACACAATACAAATATAATTTACTATAAAATTTTTTATTAAAATTTTTTTTTCTATGTGTAAATAGAGTATAGAAATAATTTTTTTTTTAAAACAAAGTGAAAAACGCAAAAAAAATAATAAAGTCTATTTCCTCACAAAAAAAGAGGCTGCTCACAAAAAAGCAACTTATGTGACCTAGATTTCTGAATATAGAAGTCTCCTTCAGAAAAACAAAAACGAAGGTAAGAAACTTAAAGTGGAAGCAAAAAAAAAATGAGAGGTAAATAAATCATTATAAAAACACACGTGTGTCTACGTCTCTCACTTTTTATTTTTGGAATAAATAATTCTATTCTAAATTCTAGGACAATAATCGTTTAATATTGTACCTTTATCATCGGAATCGCCTCTCACTTATCATTTTTGCATTATTACGCACATTTTTCACTGTAGCCTATTTATTATATTCTCGAACTACAATTCGTCCATCACCACAATTTTTTCCCTCCTCCTTCTCATTTTTCTTTCTTTTTTTTTAAGAAATATTTTTATTTATCTACCAAAATTTTTCCATAAATAAAAAGTACAAAAAATAACATCCCCCTAAAATGATATGTAGTAAAAAAATTTAATATTTATTTCAAAAAAAAAAAATAGATAAAAATTATTTATAAATAAATAGTGAAAAAAAATTTTGATGGGACTTGTTGCATTTCGAAAATTTTAACGAAATATATATTTTTATACCTATACCAAGTGTGGTATGTTCGTTCGGAACGTATAATAGGCCTGATTTTTTTTTTCTAACAATTTCGCAGTTTTAATAAAGAGAAAAAGTTGATATTACTGAAAAAAATACAAGTGTAGAAATACATTTATGTGTGAGTAAATTCAGATTTTAAGAATAAAATTTTTTTCTCTATTTTTATATTAATAATTTTATAAATTGAATAACTAAAATTGTGAAATTTTTCAATATTGTTCGCTAAGAGAAAATTACGATTTTTTTTTTATAAATAATGAAAAAAATTTTCTATTTTATATAATCAAGGGGGGGAGGGATTGAAATTCTATTTACGAGCGATTACCACACTCGAGTATTTATCGTCTTTCATTTTCATCAAAAAATCCCACCTCGTGTAATTGGCTGATAGACCAAAAATCACGTTATTTACTACTACGTGAACACGTATTTAACGTACAATTCGATCAACGTTATTATTTTATTTTATTTTTTTTTTTTTTTCATCAACAACCATTTAAAATATTTAATAACAGCACGACCATGATGAGGTACGTTACAAAACTAGTACAAAACTAGCAGCTAGGTACAAAAATGTAATTAATTATAATAATAAAGGCCGCCCGGAAACTGCCAGGGACCAACTCATTTTTTTTTTTATTTTTTTATTTCCTCACGCCCTAATCTCATTTTTTTTCGTCATGGGTTTTTTTTTTCGTCGTGAATTTTTTTTTGCACCCTCCTCTGTAATATTTCTTTTTTTTTTGTTTTTGAAATTATAATTTTTCTTTTTTTTTATTTATTTTTTCTTTTCATTCCTCTCTTTCTCTCTTTTATATTTTAGAATAGCAGAGAAAATTTAATACTGCTCGGCGGTTTGGCGGTTTTTTTTTATATTACGAGTGCAGAGTGGTGATAGGAAAAAAAAGGAGTGAAAGAAATAGAAAAAGAGAGTGAGAGAGAGAGAGAGAGAGATAAGGCTATTATTTGACAAGTCCTTTGCTGTTAATTAATGTTATTTTTATAATAATTCAGTCAACACCGCTCTGCATTCGAGACAGGTAAATTAATATAAGAATTTATTTTTACAAGCTTATACGATAGCAGTAAAATTGGACGAAAGACTTGAAAATCCGGCATTTGACCGGGAAAATTGTTATTAATGCGGATCCCATAACATTTTGTGGTAAAAAAAAAAGAAAAAAGGAAAATTTATTATAAATGCCAAATGGCACTTTTTGCCATTTTGGATGAATAAACGTTTTAAAGGAATTGATTCAAATATTACAGTATATAGTTGATATTTTATATAAATTTTTTTTTAATTTCCTAAATGATAAAATCCAGTTACAGTCTAAAAAACGTAAATTCTGGTCAGACAGTAATTTTTTTAAATGTCAGTAGTAAAAGTAAGTTTTAGTCAGACAATAATTTTTTTTAGTGTCAATAATAAAAGTTTTAGACGCTGACAATAAAATTTTTTATTTACAGTGTCAGTAGTAAAAGTAAGGTTTAGTCAGACAGTTTTTTTTATTCTTAGTGTTAGGAGTAAAAGTAAATTTTAGTCAGACAGCCATATTTTTTCAGTATCAGTAGTAAAAAAATTTTAGTCAGACGGTAACTTTTTTACTGTTATTGCCAGTAGTAAAAGTAAATTTAAGCCAGACAACAACATTTTTTTCAGTGTCAGTAGTAAAAGTACGTTTTAGTCAGACAATGACATTTTTTTATTTACAGTGTCAGTAGTTAAAATTAGGTTTAGTCAGAAAAACAAATTTTTAAATTTAAGTTTCATTAGTAAAGAAAGTTTTAATCAGATGGTAACTTTTTTACTGTTATTGCCAGTAGTAAAAGTAAATTTAAGCCAGACAACAACATTTTTTTAAATGTCAGTAGTAAAAGTACGTTTTAGTCAGACAAAATTTATTTTATTGGTGATGTCAGTAGTAAAAGTAAATTTTAGTCAGTCAGTAATTTTTTTTTATATAGCGTCAGTAGTTAAAGTAAGGTTTGGTCAAACAGTAATTTTTTTCTTGTTGGTGTTAGTAGTAAAAGTAATTTTTAGTCAGACAGCCACATTTTTTCAGTATCAGTAGTAAAAAAAGTTTTAATCAGGCGGTAACTTTTTTATTGTTATTGCTAGTAGTAAAAGTAAATTTAAGCCAGACAACATTTTTTCAGTCTCAGTAGTAAAAGTACGTTTTAGTCAGACACTAAAATTTTTTTATTTACAGTGTCAGTAGTAAAAATTAGGTTTAGTCAGACAAAAAATTTTTAAATTTAAGTTTCAGTAGTAAAAAAATTTTTAGTCAGACGTTAATTTTTTTTACTGTTATTGTCAGTAGTAAAAGTAAATTTAAGCCAGACACACCTTTTTTCAGTGTCAGTAGTAAAAGTACGTTTTAGTCAGACACACGGACATTTTTTTTAAATTTACAGTGTCAGTAGTAAAAATTCGATTCAGTCAGACAAAAAAAATTTTTAAATTTAAGTTTCATTATGTTAATAAATAATAATTAATTTTAGTCAAATTTTTATTTTAAAGCACCAGTAGTAAAAATAATGTTTCAGTCAGACCGAATTTCCATCAATATTATATAACGTAATATTTGTATACAGTACCTTTTACAATTTTTAATTTTAATTTACTTTGCAAATATTGAGTGCATATCACTTTGATATTTTATAAAAATATCAATTTTTTTTTGGTTTTTTTTTTTCTCAAATTTCACACGAATTACAAAAAACGTTGACGAAAAATTTCACTACAAAGTGTATTCATAACATTATATCTTTTTTTTATATTTCTATTATTTATAGATTTTTTTTTTTTTTTGAAATAAATTACTTAAGTGTGAAAGATTTTTTATTTTTCAAATTTATTTATAGATAACCAAAAAAAAATTTTTTTTTTCTGGGACCCGCCGGATTATCGAATATGAATCAAAACACTATAACGAGAGCATTAATGATAAAAATACAATAATTTGACGACAGATTGGCAGTCCTGCTGCATCTATCTCTAAAAATGACTACACTCTAAATAAATTATACGAAACGCCTCTTGATTTTGCATCATATAGAGAAATTTTTTTTTTTCTTAATTAATTTTAGTTGCAAATTTATTTATTTTATTTACATATAATATTTAAATCAGACGATCTCTTTTCTTTAAATTATAAATTTTTGCAAGCACAGCTTGCCACTATTTGCATATAATTTAGAAGTTCGTTAAATTTTTTGCAGTTTTTATATTTTTTTAATAGAAGAAAAAAAAAGAGTGAGAATTTTGAAAATAATTCTTCTTTATTTTCAGTTAAAAAAAGGGCAACGGGTTCTAAAAATAATAAAGAATAATAATAATAATAATAATAATAACAAACGAGCAAATAAAATGTAGAAATTTATTTTTGTGAAATAAAACGAAAAATTATCCGCGATTGACGGAGGGTGCCAAGTCCGTGAAAAAATTACCCCAATAGTGATATTTGATTTTTTTTGGGATATATTATTTATATATATATATATATATAGTTTAAATTCAAGATGTTATATTATAATAGCTGGGTCTTTCGACAGCTGCTGATTGCACTACGCGTTAAACTGTCATTAGTAATTATTTTTTACGACACGTAGAGATTTAATAGTGCGTTTTTATTTATTTTTTTTTGTTTTCTATATATCGCTGATGGTCGTGCGTATTCGATTCATTCAGATTGCGTTGAATATATACCGAGATTTTACAATATAATAATATTAATTAACAATTAATATAGACTTAAAGGACTTGTAATGATGATGTTGCATTTTTTTTTTAAGCGTTTCAAAATCTTCAATAATGAAAATTGTTTTTTTTTTTTTATGTTAATGCAACAAATATTGCAATAATGGTGTGAGAGAATTTGTTATATTGGAGATTTTGAACTTGAAAAGTCAAAAGCGAGAAAATATTTTTTAAAAAAATTAAATTTCCCACCAGTGACTTTTTTGCGTCGCATTCGCAGAGACATTTCCAATAATTGACTAGACTCGATTTTTTTTAAATTAGAGAAAATTTCCCTATTTCTCTCTCTCTCTCTTTTTCTCTCTCTTTTGTTTTCATTCATACTCTTCATTTTCTCGAATAATTCAATAGTTTCTTCATCTTTCGCGCCCTTTGTTTTTTTTTTTTTTTTTTTTTTGTAAATTGATTTAAGATTTTTAACTCTGCGTAATTAGCTACGACATTTATTGAGCTTGATCTTACGTAGATATTTTTTTGTAGGCAACGGTTATTATTTATATATATATATTTTTTTTTCGTCGCTTTTTCAACGCAGTTTTTTTCACTTATGTTTTTTCTTCGTTTATTACGAAAAATTATCTTCTAATTTTAACAGAATCTAGATTGAGCGAAGCGAGATTATTTTTTAGACACTCTTTTTTTTATATATATATATATATATATAAGACGTATTTAGAATGGACGAGTTGAAAATTGTCCTGCGGCGTCTAAAAAGTTGATTATCATTGAATCGTTCGTTTATTAATCACGGACGACATTTATATATGAGATTTCGATTTATTTCCGAATTTTCTAACTACTTTTTTTTTTTCTATTTTTAAAGAAAAAGTGAGACGCGCGACCTTATAGGTTATGTTTATGATAGTGAGAGTTCATTTCAAAACATAACCTACAAATTTTTTTATGTCCCATTCTTCAGAGCGCGTCACAATTATAATATTATATTTAAGTTAAAGTAAAAAGTGTAGTGAATTAATTTGCGATAAAAATTATAAATTGTTTTAATTTTAAGGGTCGATCTTTTTTTTGGAGGCTTAAGCGATTGTTCGATTGATAAAAAATAGGACAATGCTCTAGGAATGCGGCGCGTAATTTAAAAGTGCAAAGTAGTTTTTTTTTTTTTTTAATTTTTAGTCGTCGTCATCAAGACCAAGAAGTTCCGGAGGAAGTCTTCTGTGTCGGCAGCACAGGGTCAAACAAAGGACGCGTGCTGCAAGACGAAATTGGGGACTCAGGGTTCCTAGGACGACTGCTTTCCAGAAGCTGTTTGTCACTCCAAACCACACCACAGCAAAGTGCAATAATGGCACCTAAAAAAAAAAGGCATAAATTTTTTTTTTTGTTATTTTTTCATCTTGGAGAAAAATTGAGGTCTAAATATGAAATCTACATTATCGACAGTTGATAAAAAAAAGCATTTTTTTTTTAGAATTTATCAAAATTGAACCCTCGAGTTTTCTCCTTGTGAATATTGAATAATTTTTTAAATTTATACTTGTGGGGGTCCATTAACAACGGCATATATCCTAAGGCCAGCGTATGGCGCCCAAGCGATCCAAAATGTCAACACCAATACGAAGGACATGATGTGACTGGGATTGCTCAGATTTTCCGATAGAGCAGTGGCGTATTCTTTGTCGTGAATCGGTACACCTGATCTCAGTCGTCTCATCATTGAGAAAATGTAGAAATAGGTGTAGACAATGGTGATGACCGAGGGGCCTAATATAAGAATAGACAGGGTGATGGAGTACGCGGCCATATTTCCCCAATCGAGCATGCAAATAAATGCATCGGCATCGAATAATGGCTTGTTGAAGCCAAGCAATGGTGGACAACACATCATTGCAACGCTTATCCATGTGAAGGCCATCCAGCATTGACATCGCGTTTTTGTTTGTACCGTTTCGTATCGCAATGGTTTTCTACAAAAAAAAAAAAAAACATTATTTCAATTTTCTTCCAAATTATCAATCATCATCGGTAAAACAGATTTCATTGTTTCCATCTGTTTTACCGATTACTAATAATGAAATCGTTTCTATTATAAATCTGATACAAAATTTATTTTGAGAGAAAGTCACATATTATTGTCTAAAAAAATTGAAAATTATAAAAAACTTTACCTGATGGCGAGATATCGATCGACAGAGATCCACATAAAGGTGTAAACGGACACCGACCAAATGGTGACCTCTAGATAGCCGACCAATCGGCAAACGATGTCGCCGTAAACCCATTTTCGAACCAATGCTGGATACACGGATAGGGGTACAACAAGCAGACCACAAAATAAGTCTGCAGTTGCCAATGAGAGCAAATAACAATTTATCACCTCGGAGGGACCTTTAAAGTACAATAAAATTTTTTTTTATAGAAATAATGAAAGAAGAAAATTTTTTAACATTTAAAAAAACGTATACCAAGAAGAAAGAAATCTTTTAAGAAATTTTTTTTTAAACTCTATCAATAATTAATACTGAGAATATAATAAGTATATTCTTTATAATCAATTTTTCCCCCTTTTTTTTTATTATCACACTTAAAAATATTAAATTAATATAAATTATTATATATAAAAAAAGAAGAAAATTCTAATTTGTTTTATTCTGCGAATTTTCAGAAGAAAAAAAAAAAATTGTAAATGAATTTCAAATTTTTCTATAAGGAATAGATTTGAAAAAAAAAATTGCTTACCGCGGAAGTTGAGGTAGGTTGCGATGATGAGAAGATTCGAAAGGATGATGGCGACGCCGACCACGAAGATGAAGCCCGCCTGTAGGAGAGCCTCCAGCGAGGGCTCCTCCATGCCGCCACCCCTTCGCGCTGCATCCCCCCACTCGCCCTTATGAGCCTCTACCCTTCACCTTTCAGGAAGAAACTAGTCGTAAATCTCCAATTTTACTTATCGTTTCTTTCACTTTCTTTTTTTCTGCCTTCTTCTTCTTCTTCTGCTACTCACTTTTTCCCTTCCTTCTTTCGCAACTATTAAGAATTTTCACTTTTAGAATATCATTTCCTTGAATAGATCCTCGTTATCATCGACGAGAATGTCGATTTTTCCGCATTGCTGAAATCGGAAAATTGACATTTTTTTTTTGCGAATAATTGAAATTTATTTATTTACAGATGGGAAAAAAATATTAGTAAAAAATATTTATATAAAGTAGTAGTAAAAAATATTAATAAAAAAAATTTAATTTAAATAGAAAATAATAATAAAAGTCACAAACTCACAAATAATTGAAATGTCTGACCAAAACAAACTCATACTACTACTGATATCGAAATTACAAGAATTGTCCGACTAAAATTAATTTCTACTACTTATGTTAAAAATTCTATTCTATGTGCCTGAAAATTTGATTGCTTATTATTGTTTAATAAATTTTGATATTCATTTCTATTTGACCAAAAAAAATACTTTTACTACTGCGACAGTAAAAATAATTAATTTTAAACTTGTTATTATTTAAAATTAAAAGAAATTAAAGTAGAAAAATACATTTTAGTCAGACATTACATAAAAAAAAGTTCGGCTAATTGTAAGAAAAATTGAATTTTTTTTTTGGGAACTTTTTTTATGGTTATTGTAGCCTTTTTAGTGTGGTAATAGGGGTCTTCCTCTACTCTGATCTGGGTGTCAATTTTTTTCTACACTTTTAGGTGTATTTTGTGCAAGAATTTGCACTGAAATCCTCTCTCTAAGAAAAATTGATTTTTTTTTTGGGAACTGGCAGTTTTGTAATTTATTGTATACAAAAAGAAAGCTTTAACTGTAACAGAGATATGTTTCACTCCATGTAATACTTTTTTGGTATACTTAGGAAAAAATGTCTGAAATTTTTAGTAACCCAAGACAAATTAAATATTAATTAAATTAGTCAACTAACTAATTAAATATTTTATTATATAAAATCGAAAACACAAAGAATTTTCATTCCTTTTTATAATATATATATATTGCAAATTATTATTTTAAAAAATCAAAAAATAAATATAAAAATATGTTTATTATAAAACCAAAGTTTTTTATAATTTATAAAAACAGTTTAGTAAAAATAAAAATGTTTATAAAATAATTATAATGTATATAATTATGCAAATTAACTATTTAATTATTTTTTCATTCACTTTAATTTATTAATTATTATATCCAAATATAAATAAATTAACATTGAATTCAATTCAATTTACATAAAACAAAATTAGTTTACAAATTAACTCATCACAAATATATAATGATTTAATAAATAATGAATATACTAAATTCCTGAAATTAGGTAATTATTAAAAAAAAATTATCTAAATTATTTTTAAATTAACATTAAATTTTTTGTTTATAATTCACTTTTGGAAAAAAATTCTGAAGAATAACATCCAGAAACAAATTACAATAATTTTATTGACCATTGAAATATATAAGTTTGTAGGTTTAACTATTTTTTATAATTTCTAATAAGAAAGGTTAATTATATATTTTATATTATTGATAATATATAACATTTGTGCAATTTTACTTGCGATTGTATTTAATTTTTTAAATTAAATTTATATTATAAATTTTATTTTAAAAAATATTAATTTTTTATAATCAAATTTATTTATTTTTAGTTGGATCTTTTAAATTTTTTTTTTTTTTGGTTTATTGCATATCTGAAAATAAATAGAAAATCTTGCAAAATGTTTTTTAGACTTGGTCTCAGGAAACTTTTTTGTTTAAATAATTTTACCCACAGAAAAGCAAAATAAAGTCAACTCTGGTATAATACTGAAATTTTTAGTTGGGGGTATAATGTTTAACAAAAAAAATATTTCTATTGTAAATGGTAATAAAACCCAAAAAATGATGAAAAATAAAATAAAACACAAAAAATGATGGAAAATAAAATAAAACACACAAAAAAAAAATTATTTTTATTAAATAAAAAAGGGAACAATGTTGTTTTATTGTAAGCGAATGTTTGCGTGCAGTGATTGTATCAAAAAGAGCAATTTTCGATGTAATGAGTCAAAAGTAACGGGAAAAATTTGTTATGATAAAATGAAAAATATGCAATATATACACGACAACTTTTCAACACTATAAAGATAATTATACATATATTTAACAAGTTGTATAATTTTTTTTCTTTCATTTCTTTTTTCCCCCATATGAAAACGACATTTACTCATGAAGCTTTCTCGCGCGGCTTTTAAAACATCGACCGCCATTCATAATTCATTCGTCACGATTCTCAATGGGGTACACATGTAACTCTTCATTATATATTTGCATATTATATATAGAACCTTGCGCCAGTTCAATTTATTTTTTCCTTCTCTCTATAATTAATAATATAATAAAGTTTATGCACAGGAAAAAAAAACACTTTTTTTATATATATAATATAAATTCAACGCAAAGAATATTTCAATATATTTTGATGGGGGAGAAAAAAAAATTTATAAATAATAAATATTTGGGAAAAATATAGAGAAAAAAAAATTCTTTATTTTCCTATAATGACTAAAATAGAAAAAACAAAAGTTTTATATTCTTAATATTTATTATTATTATTATTATATAATAAATAAATATTGATAAAATAATTTTTAATTATTAGATGAAAAAAATTGTTTTTCAAAAAAAAAAAAAAAAAAAAAAATTGTGTGGACAAAAAAATTAAATAAACGTTTAATTATAAAATGACAAATAACAAGAATTTATAGAAATGTAAATTTTCTTTAGACTGTCTTTTGTTTCTGATCGAAAACAAACCAGGCGAAACTTGAGAAAACTATGAGAGTAAAAAGTTCGACAAGATCCCCTTCAGACGCGCTTGTTCAATGAATATTCAATTTGAGAAATTTTCATGCGAAACTTTCAAGATCTCTTTGTTTTGACTTTCCGACTTTAATGGTTATATATATATATATAATAGGTATATATAGAAACTTTTGCATCTAAAAACCGCTAATATATATATATATATATATATATATGATATAAATGAATAGAAATAAAATAAAATAAAGTAATTAGCAAATAAATAAATAGAAATAGAGAAATTATTGGAGAATAATATATAGAAATAAAAAAAAATAATAATAGAATGTGGTTATATAAAATATATATATATATATATATATATATATATATATCGAATAGTGAATAGTTGATGAGTCTATTACGTAAAAAGTAGCTTAGGGAAACCTCTAAAAGTGACGGATTGGAAAGTTACGTTACTCCTTTAGCGCTAAGCCAGCTTTAGCGGTATGTGAAAAGTGCCTTGAAAGTTCATGACAAAATATCGATCTTTTTCTTTTTTTTTTTCGTTATTTACTTTGAAATATAATTTGGTAGAGAATGTCTCTGTGTCAGGGCTAAATAGTCATTGAAAAGTGATTTAGTTAGAGTACTTGCTACACAGAAAATTAAAAGGCATTAAAATAAACTGCAACGCTTATTATTTTAATGCCTTTTAATTTTCTGTGTACTTTTTAGTATAAACTTTTTCTGTTTATATTTCACCGTCCCATCATTTATCTTATTTCCCACAAATAAATCAATGAACTTTTCAAAAAAAAAAAAGTATACTCTTTTCAAAAATTCTTAAATAAATAATTAAATAAGACAAATTCTTCTTGATATTAATTTTTTCATAATTACTTATTTTTTTCCATAACTATTATAATTTTATATTATATAATTATTGTAATTATTATTTTCCTATTTTATTATATTTTATTTTATATATATATATATATATATATATATATATATATTTTAATAACTTGATGAGTTGCATTAAATTAATTTATTTTTTGGTATTTAAATCATATACTGAAATACATTTTCTTTTTTTTAGATAATAAATATATAGCTAATAAATGGAGAAAAAAAATTGTCAATTAAAATATTTGTATACTAATGAGATTTATATATTGTTATATTATGAATTTTCACTTTAATTTCATATAAAGAATTGAAGAACGTGTCTATTTTAATTCTACTATAAGAAGTTATTTCCGCTTACATTATCGATTTACAAGTTGCAAGTGACATTACCAGGGAAAGTTGAACCCAAATTATTCATGTAATGAGCTTACAGTAGCAGAAAAAATATATATATATAAAAATTCGTTCTATCAATATTAATAATGGTTTCATTATAATTTCATTATAATTCATATTATATGTTTCAGTTTTTTTTTTCATTAAATACAATATTAATGATAAATTTGGCTAAATTAAAAACAATACTAATAATAATAATTATTATTACTATTATTATTATATATAAAAATACTATTATTATTATATTACTATATTATTATTAAAATTATAATTATCCTAAACTTGCTTTGTTAAAAAAATAATAATGATAATAATGGGTAATAATTTTAGCTAGGTATATAGGACATTCTTTTTCGTCTAAAGAATTTGCATTAATTCAGTAAATTTTTAGAAATCCAATAATCCAATATAGTTTGATAATTAATTATTATATTGGTATATGGGCTATTTTAAATGGCTATTTGTTTTCAATAGTTGAATTCACATTTTGTGCAAATTAAAGATTTAATATAATTATTGAATGGAATGAAAAGAAAAAAATTCAGTTTAACACAAAAAATCAAATAATTTAACAAAATTAATGTTGGTAGGATATTTATAAAAATTCTATACTTTTTATTTATTTTAATATCTATGTAAATAAACGTTTTTTCTATTCTAAATGATAATAATAATAATAATAAAAATAATGTTAATTAATATTAATATAATAAAAAATTAAAATACAATAGAAAGGGTCAGATATTCGTGGAACCTATATATATATATATTTAACAAAATTTCTCTTTGTCATTAATGTGACATCAATTTTACTATCTATATATGCTGACAATTCAAGAGCATTTGAGCGCAAGAGAACAATATCAAGGGAAAATATGTATAGGATTATAATAAATTGATTGTCATTCTTTGTTTAGCAAGAGATAAAAAAAACTTGCCCCAAAAAAAAGTATCGAAAACAATTTTTTTTTTTATTGAATTTCTGTTCTGAAATTTAATATTGTTTTCTTTTCTCTGTAATAATAATAATAATAATAATAATAATAATAATAATAATAATAATAATAATAATAATTATAATAATAATAATAATAATAATAATAATAAAAATACAAATAATAGAAACATATTTTGAATTTTTTTAATTAAAAATTATTAATAATAAACAAAAAAAATCAGAAAAAATTTTGTGAAACATCCATGAAAATTATTTTTTCAAAAATTATTTTTTTTTTCAAATAATATTATAATTTAAAATACAAACAAATATTAATTTGTATAAATATTAATTTGTATGTGTAAAAATAGACAAAAATGATAAAATACACTTTGATACAATAAAAAAAATAGAGTACCATTGATGACATTTTTTTTTTTTTTTTATAAATATCTACATTATATTTTTATTGTTTTACTATTTTATTAATTAGTATATAAAATAGTGAAACAATAAAATTATAATGTATATTTATACAAAATGCAATTCTTAGTACCCATTTCTTTTTTTTTTTTTTTATTTCATTTTTTTTCGTGTAGAGGAGTTTAATTAAATTTCCTATTTTGATATTTATCACTAAAAAGAAAAAAAAAAATATTTATTACTGATAAAGAGCAAAGCATTTAGTACATGAATATAAAACAATTATTTTTTAATTGAAAAAAAGGGGAAATATTCTCAACACATATATTTATATATATATATATATATATCATTTAAAAAACAAGGAATGACTTTTGAGATCGAAGATGTATTAAATTCCCCTAAATTCAAATCCAAGACAGTTGATTAAAATCAATTTGAAATTCCTTAGGGGGGGAAAGATATAACCCTCGAAACTCGAAGGGGATCAAAATGTAAATCTCAGTGTGTAATTAATAAATAAATAAGTAAAAAAATAAAAAAAAATAAGTAAGTAAGTAAATAAATAAGTAAATAAAAAGGTAAAAAAAAGTAAATAAGTAAAAAATTAAATAAGTACACAGAAAATTAAAAGGTATTAAAATAAGCTACAACGCTTATTATTTTAATACCTTTTAATTTTCTGTGTAAATATGTAAATAAGTAAATAAGTGAATAAGTAAATAAGTCAATAAGTAAATAAGTAAATAAGTAAATAAATAAATAAATAAGTAAATAAATAAAAAAATATATAAGTAAATAAATAAAAAAATATATATGCATATATACGTAGACAATAACACTCATATAAGAACACATTTTGTAATTCTTGGTCCATACAGCATCTCGCTGATGAACCTCCATATTAAACCAGATACTGCCATCTTTAAAAGAAATTCTAATTCTCGAGTTCATACCTCATTGTTCTCATTCCCAGTGATTTTCTCAATTTTCTAATTGCACAATATATGAAATGAAAAACAAAAAAGAAATTCACTTTTCACACAGACAGCACGGCAAGAGAGAGAAAAAAAAAAAAGAGAATGAACAGTCAAGTAATATATTTTATTTTGAGAAAACTTCCTGTGAGATGCGCCCGGCTGACTAGGCTGGGCTTTACTACTGTGGATTCTGGCTTGATTCCCCCACTCCCCCCACCCTTTTAACTCTTGTCATTCTATCTCTCTTACTCTCTTGCTTTCCCTTTTTGTCTAGCCCGCAAGGGTTCTCGGAGACGGTTCCCGGGAGTCGATACGTTGACGACGCATGCGCGCCACCCCCGAACACCCTTTCCATATCCCGGGCAGCGCATTGGCTGCTGTAACCGTGTTATATACCAAAGAGAGAGAGAGAGAGAGAGAGAGAGAGAGAGAGTGCACAAGACGAGAAAACTCTTTTTTTGGAATTAGCGTGTAACGTGTACAGAGCTCAGACTAATCCTTAATGGCTTGGCATGTGCTTCAGCAATGTCTAAGCATTTCTACTTCCGGCAACAGAAACAGGAATCAACGGAAACTTTCACGCTTCCTTTATTATTGTAGAAAAAGCCACTTAAAATGAATGCGTCTTTGTTGGTTATATATAAATAAAAATTTTAAAATACAACGTCAATTTAATATAAGTACTTTTTTCTCCTGTTTCAGTCCAACCAAGATTAATTAGAAAAAATAATTATACAATAATAATTAAAATAATTTAAAAAAAGCTTTCTTTTTAATGAATTTAAAGTTTAAACTAAGAAGGTATGACTAAAAATGTTTTTTTTACTACTGTTATAACGAAATTACATTTTAAACAATTCTGTCTGACTAAAATTTACTCTTACTACTGGTACAACGAAATATTTAATTTTTCAACTATTCTGTCTGACTAAAATTTATTTAGTTCTACTGATAAATCAAAATATTTAATTTTTATACAATTCTTAATGAAGAAAATTTTCCTTTTAATATTTTGTATATCAAAAATTAGTAGAATTTTATGTATTTATGTCTGACAATAAATTACCCATACTACTTTAATAATAAATTAACTATCAATTTTAGTTGTTGTGCCTGACTAAAAATTTATTTTCACTACTAGTAGTTAAAATTAGAAGAATTTCATGTAATTCAAATAACCTACATTCATAATATACTAATTATAATAAATATAATTGTAAAATTTTGATAATAGTGCCTGACTAAAATTTATTTATACTACTGATTAATCGAAATATTTAATAATAATATACAAATTTTGAACTAAAATTAAATTTTACTTTTTTGTACTGAAATTAGAAAAAAATATGCCTGACTATAACTTACCAATACTACTAATAAAAAATTAATCACAATTTTATGGTGACTGACTAAAATTTAATTTCACTCCTAATAAATAGAAATATTCAAATTTCATACAATTGCGTCTGACTAAAATTAAATTTTACTACTTTGTATTGAAATTAGAAAAAAATATGTCTGACAATAAATTACCCATACTACTTTAAAAATAAATTAACTATCAGTTTTAGATGTTGTGCCTGACTAAAATTTACTTTTTACTACTCGAAATATTTAATTTTAAACTATTCTGTCTGACTAAAAATTTATTTTCACTACTAGTAGTTAAAATTAGAAGAATTTCATGTAATTCAAAAAACCTACATTCATAATATACTAATTATAATAAATATAATTGTAAAATTTTGATAGTAATGCCTGACTAAAATTTATTTATACTACTGATTAATCGAAATATTTAATAATAATATACAAATTTTTGACCTCAAATTAAATTTTACTTCTTTGTACTGAAATTAAAAGGTATTAAAATAAGCTGCAACACTTATTATTTTAATCCAATTTTGCTTATTTTAATACCAAAATGGATTAAAATAAGCAAAATTGAATTAAAATATTGTTGCAGCTTATTTTAATGCCTTTTAATTTTCTATAAATTAGCTGGTAGCTGACTAAAATTTAATTTCACTTCTAATAAATAGAAATATTCAAATTTCATACAATTGCGTCTGACTAAAATTAAATTTTACTACTTTATACTGAAATTAGAAAAAAAATATGTCTGACTATAAATTACCAATACTACTAATAAAAAATTAATTACAATTTTAATAATAGCTAGTGGCTGACTAAAATTTAATTTCACTTCTAATAAATAGAAATATTCAAATTTCATACAATTGCGTCTGACTAAAATTTAACACTACTACTTTTTCTAAAATCAGTAGAATTTCTCATTTTTTATGTCTGATAATAACTTACGCCTACTACTTATATAATAAATTAACCACAATTTTAATAATTGTGGCTGACTAAAATTTACTTTTACTACTGATAAATTGAAATATTTAATTTTATTAAATTATTCATTATTGATTTCTATTTTATAATAATAAAAATAACTTTTCTTTTTAATTGAACAATAATTTTGCTAAAAATATATACTTTCAGTAATATTTATGAGATCTGAAATATTTAATACCATTAACATATTTTGATAATAATAAAAAAAAACAATGCAGACTTTTTTTTTTGTTTCAATTGTTCTTCGATTTTTTCTGCACACTGACCTATACTCGATAGTACAAAATAGAAAAAAAAAGTATAGAGAGATATTTTAAAATTTTTTCTATACCAAACTCAGTCGAATGCATAATAATAATAATAATAATAATAACTTAAATTTTTACAGTTATGTTAATTTTTTCCCCCTCTATCCATCAAAATACTTTTGTACAAAAGGAAATATTTTTTTAATCCACTTTAACAATAATTATTATAATAATAAATGATGAAATTACTTTCTATTTAGAATATTTGTTCAAGTAATTGTGTATTATTTTTTGCCGAAAAATTCTGTTGTACAGCACCAGACAAAAAAAGAGTTAGCATATAAATGTTGATTGAGTGCGCGGCGTTACTCGAGAAGAAAAATGGTTAAATTGAAGTTTTTTGTGGTGGAACACGATATATAAAAAAAAGATGATCGATTGTATTATTCTTTTTTTTTTTTTTTTTTTTGCATCGTTGATAGAAATAAACCGTATAAAAATAAACTTCATTCGACTGTGAAAAAATTAGTCCCTCCATTCTTTCTTTTATAAACACACGTTGCTTAAATAAAAAAAAAAAAAATTCCCAGCGAAAATAAGAAATTGCTAAAAATATACTATATAATAATCGATATATTTGAGGAAAAATATTTAATATCTTCTTTATGCATAAAAAAGGAAAAAAATATTTTACATAAGGTTACAAATATTTTTGATATTATTTGATTTTAGTATATATTTTATATATATTTGATATTGAATTTATTTAATTTTTATCAAACAAATGTTTCGAGTTAATGTTTTAGCCGCATATTTTTTTTTTTTCACCTATGAATGAATAAATATGTATTTATTTCAATTACCGTAATTATTTCCGTTAGAATAAGGGAGTATAGATAATAACAAGGTTTCAACAATATCTAGATAAAGAAATTTCTATTTTCAGAAAGTGTAATTTCGTATAAATTCAAGGTCAAACTAAAGTTCGATCTCATTAATTTATTTTATCTAGATTTAAGAAAATAGATTAGATTTCTTTTTTTCATTTAAATTAATTTTCAATATTTTTTTTTTTTCATTCAATTAATATTACTATTATTTTTTTTTACTATTATCAATATTTACGAAAATTATAACAAAAAAAAATATATTATTAATTTCTTGATATTTCTGTATTTTATTTTGAAAATGTATTAAAAAAAAAATCTAGTTCTAATCCCTATAGAAAAAAGTATCGAGGAGAAAAAATTGAGAATTTTACTTATAAACGGAAAGTTAACTATATATTCTTTTGTGAAAATTACAATGAAAAATTAAAAATCACAATTTATATGAATATTTATCTCCGTGATTCAAAAATATTGACGTTCATTAGAAATGCATATATGCAAGCACATGCAGGGCAATAAGTTCATACAAGAGGTTCTTCTCACTGCATCAAGGAAATCCAAACACTTATATATTATCTCTCATATAATTTATACATTATCCTTAAATTTTATTTCGTATATAAATTTTGCAATATATATACCATTATTGCAAAATTAAGAAGAGAATGTTAAAAAAAAAAATTCTAAAACAAAGTGAACGAAAAATTTTATCTCTATCATATTTTTTCTAGTGGATTTATGCCAAAAAAAAAAAACATATACTTATATAATGAATATAGTTTCCACTTTGCGGATTATTGATTTTGGCACAGAAGTCCTTTTTAAGTGGTGGTCTTTTGACAATGTTATATCGTAATTGGTACTATCGAATTTTAAAATATAATAATTTATTTAAGCCAATAATTTATTTAGAAAATAAATAATTTAGAATTAATAATTTATTTAAGCCAATAATTTATTTAGAAAATAAATAATTTAGAATTAATAATTTATTTAAGCAAATAATTTATTTGTACCAATAATTTATATGAATCAATAATATTTATTTGAGCCAATTAATTTATTTGAATCAATAATTATAAGAACCAATAATTTCTCTATTTAAAACAAATATATAATGACTCAAATAATAATTTTAAAATAAATATTTTTATGATAATAGGTCAAATAATCGGTTATTTATATATAAAAGTTCTAAATTATATTATTTATTTTTTTGGAAAAAATAAGGAAAAAACTTTTAAGACAAAGGAAAAGATTTTAATAGTTTCTTTTGCTATTTATAATCTGTCAATAAAGTTCCTAAAATTGAAATCAATTTAATTAAAGATACTAATTAATTATGCCATTGTATATATGTATACTTAACCATTTAATCAACTTCTATCATCCGAAGCTGCAAATGAAACTCATGAGACTGAATTGTCAATTTCAAAGTCAATTTAAATAATGAATTTGTTCAAACCGTTTAGTTTTTTTTTTTATTTAAATTAAGCTTTAATTTTTAAAATAAATAGTTAATAAATAATTTAATAAATTATCAAAATTTTCTATAAATGGAAAAAAAAACTTTCGTCATTCTCACAGACCTTGAAAATTATTTTAAAGACAATTGTGTTTTGAACTTTTATATACATTTTGAAAGTTGCACGACAAATTGTTATGGAGATAAAGATGGTCATAAACGACGATACTTCCCGTTATTAAATTTTATGTAACACGCAAATCAAATGTTGACAGTAGTATAACCATAAAAAGAAATCGTTTCAGGAAAACCTCGTTTAAGAAATATCTTTATTGGACATTTATTTTTGGAATAAAAGTTTTTTTTTTTTCAAAAACCAAAATAAATTATTTGATTAAAAAGTTGATATATATTTTTTTATATAAAACTTATACAATGTCTGAATCAATTGTATATATATATATATATATATATATATGGTGTTCTTGGGAGTTGTATGATAGAAATGTTGTTTCGCGGAGTCGAGGACAATGAAACTACAAGTTTCATATCAAAGATGTGCCAATTTAAAGAGGAGAATAGGCCGCAGTTTCAGAATGGGCGAGAGCATGGTATCGAACGTGTGCGCGCCCTGGAGTAGAATAAAACGAAACTGTGCCAAATTCAATTCACTGCCAGCAGATTGTACGTCACTGACTCTCACAGTTGCAGAAAAAGCTTGTTAGAAAGAGAGAGAGAGAGAGAGAGAGAGAGAGAGAGAGAGAGAGAGAGAGAGAGAGAGAGAGAGAGAGAGAGAGAGAGAGAGAGAGAGAGAGAGAGAGAGAGAGAGAGAGAGAGAGAGAGAGAGAGAGAGAGAGAGAGAGAGATCATTGTGGACAAACTTATACTGTAAATATACTGCACATTCGCTTCAATAGCACAATATGTTGTCTGTGCGACAATTTTCCGGGTTTTATTTGTCAAACCCGGAGGAAAAAAAGAAAATATTCTCTCTATTGTGTCATACAAACAAAAAAAATTCTTTTTATTCAACAAGTATAACACTAAAAAAATTTATTAATATTCAAATAAGTAGGTTTAATTATTATTTTTATCTTTTATTTTATTATATCACAGAAAATTAAAAGGCATTAAAATAAGCTTATTCGCAATCAAAAATTTACTAATGGCGCAGTACTGGCGAACTACTGACAAATATTGGCGCAGTACTGGCAGCCAGTATTGGCGTAACTTTGGGATGATAACATTTTACCAGTATTGGCTACCAGAGTTGGCACCAGTACTGGTAACCACTACAGGTTCAGTACTGGCCGAGTACTGGCAGTTTTGTAATTTATTGTATCACAGAAAATTAAAAGGCATTAAAATAAGCTGCAACGCTTATTATTTTAATCCAATTTTGCTTATTTTAATCCATTTTGGTATTGAAATAAGAAAAATTGGATTAAAATAAGAAGCGTTGCAGCTTATTTTAATGCCTTTTAATTTTCTGTGGTGACATTAGTTACTGCGGCATTAGTTACTGTGGCATTAGTTACTGCGGCATTAGTTACTGCGGCATTAGTTACTGCGGCATTAGTTACTGTGGCATTAGTTACTATGGCATTAGTTACTGCGGCATTAGTTACTGCGGCATTAGTTACTGCGGCATTAGTTACTGCGGCATTAGTTACTGCGGCATTAGTTACTGCGGCATTAGTTACTACGGCATTAGTTACTGCGGCATTAGTTACTGTGGCATTAGTTATACTATGGCATTAGTTACTGCGGCATTAGTTACTGTGGCATTTAGTTACTATGGCATTAGTTACTGCGGCATTAGTTACTGCGGCATTAGTTACTGCGGCATTAGTTACTGCGGCATTAGTTACTGCGGCATTAGTTACTGCGGAATTAGTTACTATGGCATTAGTTACTGCGGCATTAGTTACTGCGGCATTAGTTACTGTGGCATTAGTTACTACTAATTTTTTTAATCTATTGTACTAATAAATTAAAAATTATGCTATATATGAAATTTGTTCATTTTTTCTTAAATTTTTCAAATATCTGCTCAAAAATAACGTACCTATAAGTGAAGTAACAAAATAGTTGAAATTAAACTCAAAAAGTGAGTTTTCTCAAAAGAGACACTTTCGATTTTTATTTTTTTTTGCATTGCAATCTCTGATGACTGATGAATTTTTTCCCCTATATGTGAAAGTGGTACTTTTAGTTTTTAAATTACAATTTTTAATTTTTTTAGTACGGCTCACAGTAGAATTTAAGCAGTTATTTTACAAATATAATCTTTTTCCATTATTATTCATTTTTTCTTTTTTTAATTTTCATAAAAACATATACTAAAAATCGTTACGTCGAGCTTAAAAATTGTAAATAGTAACTTAAAAACTAAAACTACCACTTTCGTAGATAGGGGAAAAAATTCTTCAGTCACCAGAGATTGTAATGCAAAAAAAAAAAAAAAAATAAAAATCGAAAGTGTCTGTCTCTCTTGAGAAAACTTACTTGTTTAAGTTTAATTTCAACTTTTTTGTTACTTCTTTAACAGGTACGTTATTTTTGAGCAGATATTTGAAAAATTTAAGAAAAAAATGAACAAATTTCATATATAGCATAATTTTTAATTTATAAGTACAATAGATTAAAAAAAATGCCCCAAATCAATTTTGGTATTAAAATAAGCAAAATTGAATTAAAATAATAAGCGTTGCATAGCTTATTTTAATACCTTATTATTTTCTGTGATTTTATTATTTATTTTCTGAATGAAAATGATTTTTCCAAAAAAAAAAAAAAAATTAGGTATAAAATAATGATTATTTTGATTATCAAAGTTGAAAGTGCAAAGCGATAAATTGAATATAGAAGATGAAAAGAAAGAAAAAATTGTTTACAGGCCATGATCGACCTGAAGAAATAAGCAAGTTCAGGGTTTTTGGGAAGACTATGTTGTGAAGGCTGTAAGGCGTCCTAGACCCTCGAAAATGCACGCGAAGCTTATTGATCTGGGTTGATGCAATTGCGAACCAAGTTTGTGAGGGCCAAATGCAAAAAAAAAGCCCCGAATTGACGCGATGGGGTCGTGCTCTTGGTAGCGCGGTCATTTTCCTGACTATACATATATATAATAAGACGTGTCTCAATAATGCGAATTCCATTATAGAAGGTCTTTATCAAATATATATATATATATGTCTCATCCTCTTCGAAGACAAAAAAGTGGGTTGAGGACACGACCGGATGAACGCGATATATCAGAACATTTTTTTTTGTCCCACTTATTAAATTTTCTTTTAATGAGAATTTTATAAGATTTTCTATTGCTTTATTTTTTTTTTTTTTTTTTTTTTTTGTTAATCGATAAAAATTTGCCCGCAACAATAGATTCGAGGGAAATAAAAATTAAAATACAGAAAATTTTATTTATAATTCTTTAATATTATTATTTATTTATATAATTATTATATATTTATCCTTCTTGTTAAAAGGAAACGTTTTAAAAAGATAAATAAAAGTCAAGTAATAAATTCAATTTAAAAACTAGATTTTCTGTTTTACAATTGGATTTTAGGGAAAAATATATTTTTTTTTTTGAATTTTATCAGAATTTTGCAATAATATTTAAATAACATTCTATGTCAAATTTTACAAACTTCAGACAATGCATTTCCGGAGTAACGTCAGGCAATGGTGTCATCTAGTCGGCGATTGTCTAAATTTTCCTTCATATGTTATTTACATATTTTTTTTTTTTTTTAGTATATTTACAATATTTCTTTTTTTTTGAAATAAATATTTACCCACAGTGAATTGTGTGTGTTTTTTTTAAATTCACAAAATAGGAGAACTCATTGAAAAAAAAAAAAAATAATCGGGACATGCAAACTATTGAAAATCGTTTGGTTATAAAATTCTGTCATTAGTGGTCAGTGATTTTTTGTTATTTTGATGGAAGCAAACATTTTTTTCAAATAACTATATAAATATAGTTTCGTCGCGAACCGAACGCTTAGCGTTCGGCGCGAAATTATCATTATTTTTTGTCACATAGTTTGATTAAAAAAAAAAAAAGATTTGTTTTTTTCAAAATATTTAGAAGAATCTTGAAAAATTTGTGGATTAAAAATTTGAATTCAACATTTTGGTAATAATTTATCACTTTGTTATTAATAATATTATTAATTTTTTTTTTTTGTTATTTTATATTTTTCTTTGTTTACAATATGAAAAAATATTCTATTAATTTGTTATCAAATTTTTTAATTTCTAAAAAAAGAAAACATTATATTTTTGCAAATGAAAGGAAATGAGAGAAGAAATTTTTTTAGAATTTGTATTTCATTTACTGCGCAGAAGAATTGACAATTTTTTATGAAACATCGTTTACGGCCCTTCTATGTTTCGATTAGTCGATCATCCTTTGAGTTTCAGGCAACAAGCCAACGAGTGGATTTATAAGGTGAGTGCAATTATATTTTATTATTTCAAATAATTAAATTGATTTTTAAAATCTTTTTTTAAAAAATAATAAATATAAAATAGTTTTTGAAAAATGATTCAATTTTTTTTTTGAGAGAGAAAATTTAATTAATCTTCCATATTATTTCGACAAAAGCTCGTTTATTCACTGAAATCAGTCATCCGCAGTAAATATTTAACTACTATTCTTTGAACCGTCAAATTCAAGTTTAGAGGAAAAATCAGAGAATTTTAATTAATTATTTAACGTTTATTTATAAATTTATTTTCATCCAAATAAATTTGTAACATATGAAAATTAAATCCTTATTCGTTTATATTTATTTATTTAAGTGTATCGAAAATGTTATTTTTTTTAATAGACTTTAAAATGAGATATTTTAATGTAATAAAAAAAAAAAAAATGCGAAACTTTTATGAAAGAAATTTTTTTTTTTTTTTTTTTTGCAGATGTTATTTTTGTGGGCAAGAGAGCCTATTCCACATTCCAGGGCTGGTCCATGGTTTGCTTGGTTCGCAACGGCTGCAGTTTTATGGCGATGCCGTCGACGAATATCAAAAGCAGTTAACGCTATGTCACCCTTAAAATTATTTAAACGACGTGTAATTCCAGTTAATGTGAAAGCGGTGCAAGCGCCAAAAGCCACAACGACGACCGCACAAAATATCACCAAAGAACAACAAAAAAAACTCTGCTATATACTCAATTCAAAGCACAACACGGGAATTAAAACACGAGTTAAACGACTTTGCACTGGTAAAATAAACTCTTTTTTTTTATTGAGTTAAACAAATTTGAAAATTTCTCTAACTACATTCGAGAAAAAAGGATTCTTTGACAAATTTTTCTATTTAATACAAAGAAAATTAATATTAAAAAGTTTTTGACAAGTCTGACTTAAAAACGCTTTTACTACTTACTACCAAAATTACGGTATTTTTGATAAGTATTGCTTTCTATATGCGGAATAATTCTGTCTGACTAAAATTGTCTTTCACTACTAAAAATTACAATTTTCATTTGTCTGACTAAAATTATATTTTACCACTGTTAAATAACTATAAAAACTTTTTTTATATTAAAATACTTGAAATAGAAAAAAAATTTTGTCTAAGCAAATAATTTTTTATTTAAAAAAAAAAAAAAAAAATTTTTCTTCAATCATAAATATTATTTTTTAATTGCAGGTGACGGACCACATGTGACTGGCGCTTCATGTATTCAAACATCTCCATTAATGAATTACAAAGTCACTCGAAGCGGTAAAGTTTATGGAAAATATAACAAAATGATAATGTCAAAAAAGCAATAGAAAATTTTATAAAATTTTCATAAAAAAAAACAACTTGCCTCTTTTTTATATATCATTATTTCTTAATTTTATCATAATTTCAAGGTAATTAGTATCTATAATTATATTTTCATATCTTCCTAAAAATAATAAAAAAAAAATTATTTAATCCATTCGGTGTTCTCATAAATAATTATTCTATTCATAAATCAAAATTATAATCAAAAATAAAAATAATTGTTTTTTTTTTTTTAATTGAATTTATGAGGCAGTTTGCACTCGATTTTTTTATTTATTAAAGCAAAAATATACACTACAGTGAATAGAATTCAATTATACTTGTGCAAAATTGAAACAGTAAATCTGCAATTACTTTTTAAATTGAATTTTAGTCGACTTTTTATTTATTACTTTTTTTTAACATTAAAAACGTTTCCTTCTGCCAAAAAGATTTTATATAATAAAAAGTATTATTATGAATAAATAATTAGTTAAAATTATAAAAAAGATTTTTCTTTTTTTTTTTTATTTCCAATAATGAATTGCGTTGAGTAAATTTTTTTTATTGACGAAGGAAAAAATTTAAATATATATAAAAATAGTGAAATTTTTTTTTCATATAAATTTAGCACCTGTGCGCACATTTTCTTTTGCGAGAAAGGTGGGTCAATTTTTCCACGTTTTCTGTATTCGTCCCCAGACATTTGTTGGGGGGGGGATATATATATATATACCACCTTCTTCCTCGTTCCCGTGACGTCACAGGATCGTGTCAGTAGGTCAAAGCCTAGGCGTGTGACGTATACCTTCACTGATTTCAAAATTCACGTCCATGAAATGTGATTCGATTTCTATTGTAACTAATAATTATTATAAACGAATACTAATAAAATTTTATAATTGACTTCCACTTTCAATTTATATATACAATACGTAACAAAAACGCATTCAACTGCATTATACAATCTATGATATCGATTCAAATCTTGTCAATTATTATTATTATTATTATTACTATTATTGTTATTATTATCATTACTATTATTATTTTTTCTTTTCTTTTTATTATTTAATTAAATGATATTTGTTTCAAATACAAAAATTATATGGATTTATTTAATTTAAATAAAAAATATTTATTATAGAAAAATTTAATTAATTTAATTTAATTCTTTGAATTAAATTTTTTTTTAGTCTATCGGTCAATAAACAAACAAAAAAAAATGAATGCGATTTTGTTGAGTGGTTTCTGTGGTGGGAATTAAATTACTTTCATGATAATAATAATATAATCTAACCACAGTTTAGAACATTTTATAAAGTACAAAAATCTTTGTGGTATATATAAATGTTGTACAATGAAAATATTTGAAAATTGTTGCTCTTCGTCGTGAAGATTCTCAATTTTCTTTAAAGCAAAATAAGATGAAAGGATCTCTCTACCGCTGGTAACGTAGAGAATTCGGAGATACGATCACTTTCAATATAAATCCCAATGGGGAAAAAGTATGCGGAACCAACTAATGAAAAAAAAAAAAAAAAAGAAATTCATCGCCAAGAATTTCATCAACAATTTGAATTTTTGAAAAATAAATAAATTTATTATAAGACATATTTTTTCCTTATTTCGTATATGTTACGTGGAAAAAAAAAAATTCAAACTTGAATTAAAAAAACATTGTAAAATAATAAAATTGAAAAAAGAAGAATAATTATTGATTCTTTCATTTGCTTTGTTATACAGATTGTATATATATATATATAGTCTAGTTATTATTCACAGAAGCGCATAAAAGAAGATTTCATGGGAATTCGCTGTAGGCAAAAGTACCTTAAAGATCAATTACTGTAATTATTATCGATCGTCGTCTCTATTTCCATTCACAATCGTGCGCTTCATTGAATATAAAACTACCTTTATATTATTCCGTTGAATTGTGAAGAAGATATATATATATATATATGAAAACAAATATAATTCCCTTTTGGGAGGAACATTATTCTTTAGGAAATCTTTCATATATTCAATAATAATCAAAAATATATATGCGGTTTATTCACAGTCAATAAGATTTCAAAAAGCCAAAATAAATATATACTTTATACGCTTGAAGCAGATAAAAATTATTTTTTTGAGAAAAAATCTTCTTTTTTTTAATTCTTACAAATAAAAGCATATTTTAGACTAAAAATTAGAAATTTACAATAATTTTTTAGTAAAATATTACTATTATTTAGTAACTACTTTATTTTTTACTAAAATTTACTAGTGAAAAATCACTAAAAAATTAGAAATTTTCACTTATTTTTAGTAAAATATTACTATATGCTCAGAAAGAAAAATAAAATCAAAAAGTTAAAAAAAATTTGAATTTCACTCCGATAGTGTAATTCCATGTATTTTTTGTCGCTGAATCCAAATCCAAAGTCAGAATTATTAAATTCGCTCAAATTTTTGAGATAATTGCAAAAAAACGCAAGTAACAAAAAACTCAAAATACTCAAAATCAGTTTTTTGGAATTATCATCAAAATTTGAGCCAATCTGTCAATTCTAACTTCGAATTCAGATTCAGCGTGAAAAAATACATGAAAATGTACTATCGTAGTGTTTCGGCAAAAAAAAAATTATTTGTGCCCCTAATTCAGAATTTTTATCAGTTTTTGGCGATTTTAGCTCAAAGAAATTTTTTTTTGCCGAAACATTACGATAGTTCATTTTCATGTATTTTTTCACGCTGAATTCGAATTCGAAGTCAGAATTGACAAAATTGGCTCAAATTTTGAAGAATATTAAAAAAAAAAACTGATTTTGAGTATTTTGAGTTTTTTGTTACTTGCCTTTTATTGCAATTATCTTAAAAATTTGAGCAAATCTAACAATTCTGACTTTGGATTCGGATTCAGCGACAAAAAATACATAGAATTACACTATCGCAGTGAAATTCAAAAATTTTTTAACTTTTTGATTTTATTTTTCTTTCTGAACAGTTTTTTGAGTTTATCTCAAAAATAAAAGCCAATCTGATAATTTTGACATCGGATTCGGATTCAGCGGGAAAAAATACATGAAAAAAGACTAGTGTAGTGTCTCGGCCAAATCACATTTTTCTTTTTGTGTGCCTGTGTTTTTAGTAAAATATTACTATATTATTTAGTAATATTTTTTTACTAAAATTGTAGTGAAAAATCACTAAAAATTAAAAATTTTCACTAATTTTTAGTAAAATATTACTATATTATTTAGTAATATTTTTTTTTACTAAAATTGTAGTGAAAAATCACTAAAAATTAGAAATTTTCACTAATTTTTAGTAAAATATTACTATTATATAGTAACTATTTTTTTTTTTTACTAAAATTGTAGTGAAAAATCACTAAAAATTAAAAATTTTCACTAATTTTTAGTAAAATATTACTATATTATTTAGTAATATTTTTTTTTACTAAAATTGTAGTGAAAAATCACTAAAAATTAGAAATTTCCACTAATTTTTAGTAAAATATTACTATTATATAGTAACTATTTTTTTTTTACTAAAATTTTAGTGAAAAACCACTAAAAATTAGAAATGTTCACTAATTTTTAGTAAAATATTACTATATTATTTAGTAATATTTTTTTTACTAAAATTTTAGTGAAAAAACACTAAAAATTAGAAATTTTGTCTAATTTAAATTTACTAAAGGGAATTCTCACTAATTCAAAAAGAGGCAAAAATTATGAGAGAAAAATAAATTTTAGAATATCGGAAAAAAAGGGATTAAAAATAAAAGTAAAAAAATATATATAGGTACAGTAAAAATAGTATATAAATAAGAGTAAAGTGACGTTTATGGAGACTTTTGAGATAATAGAAAACGTATATATATATAAGGAAGCGTGAAGGAATTTTTTATATATGTTTGTGATGTTCGCGTGCCGGAAGGGAAAAGTTGTCAGGCATGCTTCACCTACGACCTTCAAAGTTTTAAAGTTCTCTCTTTCCGGACTGGTATGGCATGCGCAAACTAATCGACCTTGTCCTGCGATATAGAAAAGATCATATAAAAGGTACGCTGTGAGAAAAGGATTTCAAATATAGGAAAAAAAGCTCATAGAAGTAGAATTTCTCCTAATATATATATATATATATCATTTTCAAAAAAAAATTTTTTTTTTCTTTATTTAAATTCAAAAAAGAAAAATTAAATATATTTACTGGAACCAAACTATTTTTAATTGAAATAAACTGTACTTTTTGAACCAATAATTTATATTTCAATAATCTCTCATTTGAAACAAATACAATTTAAATAAAAATAAATATTTATTTGATTAGTCATTTTTTTTTAATGCATTTGAAATATTCGTTACATTTGCGTATTTATATTCAAAGATTTTTATTCTGATCTTTGATCAATCAGATCATGTCCAGTCGAGGCTATAAACCGCTTGGGAAATCAAGAAGAATTGTCATATATATATAAATAAATTATGTCAAACCTTATAAATAAAAAAGAATTTTCGATTAGAAGCGAATTCTTAGAAGCAAAAAGTTAGGAAAAAAAAAAAATTATTTTCATACAAATATTGACAAAATGGTAGTTTTATAAGAGAAAAAAATAATTATATTTATTTAAAATATTTTTAAAAAAAAATTAAATAAATAAAACATTTATTTTCACTGTGAGTAAGAAAAATAGCTTATGAATTTCTATTTCATGAACAATTTTTTTGCCTCTCTCTCTCTCTCTCTCTCTTTCTCTCTGCGTTGAAAGTTGTCTGACGTTTGTATAGAACTTGAGTTTGCAATAATTGCACGATCGTCAGGTAAAAGTTTATAAAAACTTGTGTATATATGACTTACAGCAGAACCTGTTGATGTCTATACAGCATCCGTCTAGATTCGTCGACAGCAAATGTGGGAAGTGACAATATACACAGCTTAAGTCACCCACAATATATATATATATATATATATATATATATATATATATATATATATATATATATAATAGCAAAATATATACGGCTTTTGTATTTAGAAAGTTAACATCCAGAATTTATAATATTCGTCCTCGTGGCAACGATTTAGCGAAAATAATCGTCATTTTACTCTTATA